TTTTTTTTTAGTATTGGATGACTTGCTGTTTTATCCTCATATTTCAATTCATGATTGAAATAAATAAACTTCAAACCTTCACAAGTATGTCACAGGTTTTATTCAGCGTCACGTCTGTTCACCGCGGTGCTTACCTTGATGGCATGGTGAAGCGACGACACGTCATAAGCAAGCGGGGGAGTCATAAGAGCCACAATCAAAGTCTCGAATTTCCCACCCAGCTCTCCCTTCAGGTCATGTATCAGATCCTGACATGAAGACACAGTATTCTGAATGAGAGTCCACACAGAGCTGTCTACAACAGGTAAGATAATAACTCTTTCAGCTGTTTTTGTTAGTTTCATCATTTGAACAACTGTTTATAGGATCTGATATATCCTGTTGCTAATTTATTGATTTGATAACTTGATTAAAATGTGACTTTTTTTTTGTTTTATTTTAAGCTATCTAAAAACCTAAACAGCATGAAGACACGTGGAGTTTATGCTTTGCAGTCTGACCTTTCCAAACAGAGTCTTGTAGGCGGTCTTGATCTCCTGCCTCTGGGCATTGCTACGAGCAGTCAGCAGCTGCAGGATGGCGTCCTCATCGGTCCCTAAAGGCCACAGACACCATGATGACACATCCATGCTGCACTCACCTTTCCCACATGTGTCTCAGGTTACAAAACAAGCCGCACGTTGTTTAAGCCATTTAAACCACATAAACTGTGCTTAAAGTCAAAATCAGCAGGTCTGAATGGGCACACCTCATATTTCACCTCTGGCCACCTGTTTGTGACTTCATGCTGTGTGTGGCAGTAATTACTGCGCCGCTGCACAAAGAGGAGTTCCTGGAAACACTCGCTGGTCTGCAGGAGTCGTAGTGCCCAACATTAGACAAACACAAAACTCTTACCCAGCCCTTTCATGGCCTTGTGCAGCACCTGGGCATCTGCACTGGCGTTGAAGTTGGGACTTGCTTTAACAGTTCCTCTGCTGGCCTGCAAACAACAACAACAACAAAAAATTTTTTATTTCATTTCAAAATACCAGCAGAGCAACAACTTCCTGGAGTTCCACCTTTTGTGGCACTTTATTGTGTCGTCTCGCCAATAGTCAAATCTGCGTTCCCTTATTTGCAAGGAAAATCGACTGCTCTTTCACAATAAATACACAACAGCAAATAAAAACACAAAGATTGCCATAAGATTCAAAGTTTTTTCATTTTTACAGGCTTTAAGACACATACCATTTTTATTAAGTACAAAGATGTTACACGAGCATTTACTTTATATGGAATATACTTTTTATTTTTTATAGTTAGATCATTAAGTAGACATATAAACATAAAAAGGGATTTTAGTTTCTTGTGCTAAAAACAAAACAAAAAAACTGCATCAACTTTGATGACATAATAAACATATAAACTTAATGACAGACTTGGTAACTTCGATCATTTTGAACTAAAGACAATGTGGCGACATTCAGAATGCAGAGCTCAGTTAAATTAAAGAGAAGGGAGACAGACGTTTACAGGGATTTTTCTGGAACCCTGATAAAAATCAATAATCTGGCAGAAAAAAAAGACATCAGAAGGGAAAAAAAACAGTTGGCGTTAACAAGGAGGATTTTGTTTCTGCAGGAAGGAACGCCAAGAATGTCAGCAAGCTTTGCTTCTCTGTAATCACACTAAATCAAATCTGAGAGAAAATCATTTCACAACAAAAGCCAATGGCTTCCACAGGAACGTCTGACACCAGGTTCAAAATCTATCAGACCCTCCCCAAATGTAAACACAGGCAGCTGCTGCACAGAGCGTCATTCTCCCTGTTGCGTTTAGACGCCATTTACCATGGAGAGCGAACACAATCGTCACGGTTGTAAGAGAGCAGAGTGTCTTACGTTACTGCCGTAAAACCGGTTTTACTGCTACTACAGTGTGTACTCCCAGAACAAAAAGGAGTGCATCTGTCAAATTAAAAGGTTATTATAAAACCCTAAATATGTCATCATAAGAAGAAAAACTCTAAACAGGTGTACAGACTGTTTAAAACAAATAAGCATAACAAAATACAGCAATAAATTTAAGTTACAGGTACCTCTTCTAACAACTGCTTTGACACATTTGAAATCCTGTTCATAAATCATATCCAGATGTTTTTCTAAAGAAAATAACTTTTACGAAATGATCAACCTTTACACAGCTAGCAAACTGATTGTGTGCGATTATTCTAGCAGATATTTTGGTATTAGAAATGCAGGAAACCACTTTGGTCCTGCTTTGACTAGATGTTAGTTCATAAATCCAATCAGGAACAAACTATTTCTTCAAATTAAGGTTGATCAAAGAGCCATCTACAGCAGGTAAGACATTAACTGTTCACAGCCTTTTTTAAAAGATCTGAACCATCACTTTAAGAAGGGGATCTGGAAAACACATGGAAGAAAGTTTCCCAAAGGCTGTGCCAGGAATAAGCAACCACAAGGTTGTAAAGTTGAGTGTAAAAGCTGTAAAATGTGTGTAAACAGCTTCAATTTATCCATAATGTCATAAATATATACATCCTCCCAAAAAGTTTATCATGAATGATTGTTTTGATTTATTCTATTATCTCAACTCCACCCTGATGAAGAGAAACAGACCAGACCCTCTTTAAGAGAGGGAGGCTTTAAACTTGAGGCCAGACGTGGAAATGAGGCCCACCCTGAATGGAAAAGAGCCCACATGAGTCATCCACTAAACTTCCCCAAACTAAACATCTCTGCTGCTGCTGTGTGGGCATGCGCAGACACACCCTACATACACACAAAAATCTGATAAAACTTTAGCCATTCACAAGATGCATTTAAATCACTTCAAGAACTCAAGTTCTTCTCATCTTAAAGTATGACAACATATATTTTTCATATAAGTATGTTTAAAGAAGATTACTGACTAGTCTATTAAAGTGTCCTAAAAAATTAACAATGTAAAAAATGAGTGAATTACTTTATACTGGAAGGTGAAATAAATTATGACAAGTATTACGTAAGAATGAGTCTGGTGGGCGTTTGCCTTTGAGTTTAAAGTGAGTCAGAAATAACGGATTTGAATGAAGACATCTTCAAAAAGTTTTTTTTTGTTGTTGTTGTTGTCAAAAACCGTCTGTTTTGGCTTAATTACAGCATTTCTTTTAAATAACTACCAAAGCTGTAGCTAACATAAACTTACCATCTTTTCAGTCTTGGATGTTTTGTTTTCTCAAACAGGAAGGAAATCTGTTAAAAGATAAATACATCTGTTATTCCACTAAAAAGCCAAAACTTTCGCTTGACATTTGTTTAAAACATTATTAAATTCGTCTCTTGTCGACTTTTAACTAAGTTTCAAGTTGTTCCGTCTCCTCGGGGTGGGTGGGAGCTGGCTCTAGAACTTCTCCCGGAACAGATGTTTTGTCGCCAGCGGCCCCGAGACGAGGGTCCGCCGTGCCCGCCGCCCTCACCTGGCGGGATGCGGCCCACGCCCAGAGTCCTGACCGGGAACTTACCGATGAGCTGCAGCCGTCAGACGAAGCTCGGTGAGCTGAAGAAGAAACTGAGAGTCCCGGTGTTGCAGCGAGAGAAGCGACGAGGAAAAGAGATGGGCGGAGGAAAAACAACCCACTTTATGATGGATTGTTGGTGCGCGTGAGTGTGGGCGCGTGGCAGTGCCCCACCCGGGTTCGTCTGACGCGCAGCTCCACCTAAAGCATTCTGGGAAATGCTGTTTTCGATCCGAGCTGCAAAAAATACCAGACTAAATAGACTAATGTAGACTAAATGTATGTAAAATATGACAAGTTTAACTATTTTAATTATTACATTTAAAGCGACCAGGACAGCACAAATTAAGTCTATGTTACATGTAATTACTTGTATGGAAGCCCATTTCCGCCACCCTGATAAAAAATAAATAAAACTTGTATCTCATAATTATGACTTAGCTATCTCATAATTACACTCACCGGCCACTTTATTAGGTACACCTGTCCAACTGCTCGTTAACACTTAATTTCTAATCAGCCAATCACATGGCDGYAACTCAGTGCATTTAGGCATGTAGACATGGTCAAGACAATCTCCTGCAGTTCAAACCGAGCATCAGTATGGGGAAGAACGGTGATTTGAGTGCCTTTGAACGTGGCATGGTTGTTGGTGCCAGAAGGGCTGGTCTGAGTATTTCAGAAACTGCTGATCTACTGGGATTTTTACGCACAACCATCTCTAGGGTTTACAGAGAATGGTCCGAAAAAGAAAAAACATCCAGTGAGCGGCAGTCCTGTGGGCGGAAATGCCTTGTTGATGCCAGAGGTCAGAGGAGAATGGGCAGACTGGTTCGAGCTGATAAAAAGGCAACAGTGACTCAAATAACCACCCGTTACAACCAAGGTAGGCAGAAGAGCATCTCTGAACACACAACATGTCGAACTTTGAGGCAGATGGGCTTCAGCAGCAGAAGACCACACCGGGTGCCACTCCTTTCAGCTAAGAACAGGAAACTGAGGCTACAATTTGCACAAGCTCATCGAAATTGGACAAGAGAAGATTGGAAAAACGTTGCCTGGTCTGATGAGTCTCGATTTCTGCTGCGACATTCGGATGGTAGGGTCAGATTTGGCATCAACAACATGAAAGCATGGATCCATCCTGCCTTGTATCAACGGTTCAGGCTGSTGGTGGTGGTGTCATGGTGTGGGGAATCTTTTCTTGGCACTCTTTGGGCCCCTTGATACCAACTGAGCATCGTTGCAACGCCACAGCCTACCTGAGTATTGTTGCTGACCATGTCCATCCCTTTATGACCACAATGTACCCAACATCTGATGGCTACTTTCATCAGGATAATGCGCCATGTCATAAAGCTGGAATCATCTCAGACTGGTTTCTTGAACATGACAATGAGTTCACTGTACTCAAATGGCCTCCACAGTCACCAGATCTCAATCCAATAGAGCATCTTTGGGATGTGGTGGAACGGGAGATTYGCATCATGGATGTGCAGCTGACAAATCTGCGGCAACTGTGTGATGCCATCATGTCAATATGGACCAAAATCTCTGAGGAATGCTTCCAGCACCTTGTTGAATCTATGCCACGAAGAATTGAGGCAGTTCTGAAGGCAAAAGGGGGTCCAACCCGTTACTAGCGTGGTGTACCTAAAAAAGTGGCCGGTGAGTGTATGAGATAGCTAAGTCATAATTTTGAGATACTATCTCATAATTATGAGATAGCTAAGTCATAATTATGAGATACAAGTTTTATTTTTTTTATCAGGGTGGCGGAAATGGGCTTCCATACATTTGCCTTTTTGTTTGTCTGTCTTTTAGCAAAATAGCTAGGTCATGGAGGGATTTTAATAAAATTTTCAGAAAGTAATCATAGGACATACATCCAATTAGATTTTGGAGTCAGCTTCCTTTTAAGATGGCCTTCACAGTTAACTGACCATAGCAAAAAACACTATGACTTTTTGTCAGTCAGTTTTACGGATGGGCTACTCAACAAATCAAGCTTGCAGAAAATATGCATTGCTTCAAAGGGAGCTAGTGTCATTAATTAATTTGTTATTTAATTTTATTGTATTTTATTTTATTGGAAATTATCTCTAAACCACTCAATTATTGTTTCACAACCCACAGTCCCAAACTCCAGTTTTGGACACAGCTGTTAAATTGCACATTTCAGGATAACCAAAAGCATGAGGGATGTTCTCGTGTTTGTTTAAAGCTGCACTGGTGCATGTTTTGTCACATTGTGTGGGAGAACTAATAGAAAACATCCCAACTCCAATAATGACAATAAGATTTAATAGACAAACGTGCAAGCAGATATATCTCCAGCAGATGGAGCAACATTAATTTTGCCTGGAGTCATTTTTTCCCACCACCTGATAAGTATTAAATGTAACATTTTGTTTGTTTTAGTCTCTGCCTCAGATCTCTGGCTCTTAAAGCACTGTGCTCAGCAGGCACTTATTTCCACAGGAGGAATTTCATATCGGAAATCATGGTTTGATAAATGAAGGAAAGTACGTAGCCTCGTGTCTCAAATCATAACTGCCCTATACTGCAAAATTTATGAAATAGAAAGCTTGAGCATAATGGCTGCTATTTATCTGTTTGGTGGTGGGCATTAAAACCAAACCTGAATTAAACTAGAAACATAAATACAACACTATGAACAGAACTGGAATCTATGGTATGAGCAGAGAACACTCAAACGCTTCACAATAATAAATGCCAGCACAGAAATGAACAAATCTGATTTGTGTTGCTCCTATCATGAACACGGGTCATTTTGTTTGGTTTGACATGTTGAGAATCTTCATGCCAATAAGTCACCACTTAACTTAAGGACAGGAGAACTACTCAAACAAAGAGTGTTCTGAAAATACACGTATAAGGTACAGAGTGCAAACTTACATTACTTTTTTTCCAAACTAGTGTAAACAAAATAAAATGTGAAGAGACATGAAAGTGTTAAGGTGATGTACACATGCAATTGTGGCTCAAAATCTGATTGAAAAACAAATTTTTGTTTTTTCTGACACTGAAACAGTAGACATTGAAAATACAGATGCCCTCTGCCAGAAAGCCTCAGACAGAAATGGTCACTTCTGAACCATCAACATTGATGCCCCCTAGGGTTGTATTCTTGCATTACTCTACTCATGGAGAGACATCTTCAACAAATTGACAAATAACTATAATTCTCATTCTGATATCTAATTAAACACGCACAGTTAAAAACCATATTCTATTAATACTTGGCTTTAGATATTTATTTATTGAAAAGTGTTTTATGTCAGCACATTTTTAGATATTTAAATTATTCTTATTTTGTCAAATAATGCAATACTCAAAGGTATGGCAGGAGAATCTCACAAGCAATACATCATATTAAGAGATGGTAAATATTCTGAAAAATAAAAAATATGTCTTAAAATGAGAGCTGCTGTTTCACCATCTGCACTGATTTTTCTTCATCCTAGTGCCATCAATTGGAAGGACCAGACATGTTTTGTGACAAAAATTATTCTCTCCTGCATATGTGTAAAAAAATGATTAGTCAGGTGAAGACTGACAGAAGAGATTAAACTAACATTAAAGAAAACAAAAGGAAAATCAGATGCCTGATCCATTAAAGCACACGAAAATGCAGCATGTTGCTTTATTTTTCTGTTTTTGTATCCAAATAGATAAGTGTTAAAACCTTTTGTATGCGTATGTAAATCAAACTAACAAATTGTCCCATAAAGCTTGAAAGACAAAAATTCTAACTCAAGAATGTTAAAGGAATTAAGACTCACTGATTTAAAAGTAGAAATTTTAAGTGTGTGTAATGAAATGACAAATGAAACTGAGTTTTAAATTCATTTTTTATCAATTCTATTATACAGAGTATCATTATGTTACGAAAAGAGCAAATATAAAATCTAAAAATTAACCCTCCATCCCTGTTCCTCCTGTCTGACAGTGAACCATAAGATCATTAGAGGTATCCAACAGTGAATAGAATGGTAAGGGAGACCGGGGAAGTAGCGACAAGGGACGGTTGCAACACGTCATTTTTCTCCAAACAGAAACAAGCTAGAGTGATGACACTCACACTGTACATGCTCAGTTAGATGCCCAACCTTGCAAAGAAAAAGTAAACAGTTTCAAAAACTGCTCCAGGATTTATTTGAAAAAAAAAAAACAACTGTTTTTGAAGTATTGCCCAGCTTTATTTTTGTTACACTTTTGTCACTGTTTTTGTGATCCAACTCAAACTTGTATGGTTTAAACAAGTGATGTGTTGACTTTTAACTAATATAGTTAATATGTATCCAGATCAGCTTATTTAGCTAACACATGAGGTTTTATCATGGCTGACAGGAAGGGGGACAGTTGCAGCAACTGTTGCAGCTGTCCACATACCATAAATCCATATAAAAGCAGAGCACATACAGATGATATTAAGATGTTGAATCTAAGTTTACACTTAAAAGGGTTTTGGGTATTCATGACATTTTTATAGTTTAAAACATAAAAGTGTTTAAGATGTATTTTCTGCAGTTGTTGTTTTCAACAATGGTTTTAAAATCCCAGTTTCTTTCAATATAAATTTTGCATAATGTAGTAGACGTACAGTGACAATAGGCAAAACAAAAGTTAATTGCCTCACAAGTTGTTCTATTAACATTGTCTCTAAAAGCCAACTGTATTTTATATCAATTTGAGTATTTTACATCTGTATATAAGGTCTACTCGTCAAGTCAAATCTATATTCGTCATTTGATCAAAAGAATAAATAGATAACACTGTAATATCATTATAACTTACTGGTTTTATTAATTTAGCAATAATATAAACATAAAATTATAAAACTTTTATTTACAGTGAAGTATTTTGTATTAATAATATGTTGCAACCACCCCCAAACAATGTAGCAACTGCCCCTGGCCCCAGGGTCAGTTGCAACACCTGACTTTTCATTCTCAAATGCATAATGTGAAGAATGTACATGCTTTAATCATCTATAAATGGTTTTGACTATTAACAGACAGATGTTTATTGTATTAAAATTTGGTTTGTCTAATTCAAACCATCTCTGAGTAACAGAGTCAAATGCAAAAAGTCTTGCAACTGTCCCCGGTCTTCCATAATATTAGATAGTTGACCTACTTTAAGATAATTACTTTCAGTGACACTGTAATTTTTAAAACTTTTTTTTAACTACTGAAGATCTGAAAGTATTTATTTTTCCTGGATGTTTGAATGGAGGACTGATCATAACCTAGATTTTTTCTATTTCTATGTTGAAGTTGGCACCTGTACATAAATCTATATATNTATATATATAGTGTTTTGAATTTAAATAGCCCGCCATTCCCTCTTCTAGATCATTCTCCCCTCTTCAGCGTCTCAGTCGATAAAACTCCTTGCGTTTTGAGCGGTGGTATTTCTTTTGTGTTTACATTTTAAAATAAGAATTGGTTGAATTTTTTTGTTTCTTTTAGTTAAGCGTGTTCAAAACAGAAATTTGACGTCTAAATTATTTAAAGGATTTTTCTAAACCAGATGCATCTGATGTCCACACCCCCCCGTGTTTACACCCAAGTGGTACGATCCGGAGAATAAAGTGCAGCTGCGTCGCGTGCGTCGACCGACACAACTCCTAAAATCCAAAGCTGTCTTGTACGTGCTTATCCTGCAAAGTCTTTTCCGAACTTAGCAAGAAAAAAAAAAGAGCAAATAATCAAAAATGGAGTGGACTCCGATGGAAATCAACCCCGAGGTGGGGAAGATAGCGACATTAATAACGTAACGCCTTTAAAGGCAGTAAACTTACTTGTTTTTGTTATCGTTTCAGATGCTGAACAAGGTGGGTATCGAGTATTTGAAATTAGTGCTAACTAAATGCATCTGATCTGTAAGGTAAGTTAGCTAAACTTAGTGAAGACAATGAACGAGGGAAAGGTACCATGCCGACCCGCCACTATAAGTAGCATGTAAGTGTAATTCTTTGATATTCCCGTGTAATGTTCATAGTTTAAAAAAAATAAAATTACGAGATTAAAGCGAGTAAAACGTGTAGGTGCGTTCGAATCAAAGAAGGGCGGGATAGTAGCATCCCTATCGCTTCCCGTCTTGTCTGGACCACAGGGTGTGGTCTGACTGGAACCTAGCATCTTTAATCGGCCTCAAAACATCTCTCTTTTATCTTTGTCTTTTTTTTTCTGGATCAGTTGTTGACTTGGAAATGTGTGTTTTTCAGATGACGAGCAAGCTTGGCGTGGGTGGCTGGCGCTGTGTTGACTTGCTGGGGTTGGAGGATGATCAGCTCTCTGCTGTACCCAAACCGTGTTGTGCCTTGATGCTTCTCTTCCCCCTCACTCAACAGGTAATCATTTCAGAGGTCTCTGTGGGGATGGCTGCAGGGAAAAGAGATGGCGTCAAGGTGGGGTGTGAAGAGGATAGGGATCAAGAGATGGAGGGTGGTGAGGAAATGAATCAGCAGATACTTCATGCTTCTTAATGTGTGAGACAGGGATGAAACTCATTGATACTGATGTAAATAAAGCTGATGTTTACCTAGTAAATTTTTATGTTTAATCTTTTGTGATCTGTGATGAAAGCGATTCAGTTTCCAAATGGCTGAATTAGCTGCAGACTGTGTGGATAGGTGGGCAATTTTGTTTTGTTTACTTGGTTTTTGTTAACTTTTAGGACCCTTTTCTGCTGTAATCACCTGTCAGGACTGGTGGTTTTTATTATGGGGATCAACCAGTCCTAATATGGTAGACAAATGTCATTTTGGGGTTGAGTTTAGGGCTAAGTTAGCTTTAACGCTGAGTTAAGCTACAGAGATGAATAGAAAATCAATACAATGACCTCATAAAAGTGTGTGTGTGTGTGTTAGCATGAGTCTTTCAGAGCTCAGCAGGCAGACAAGGTTTCAGGAGGCTCTGATGTTTACTTCCTGAAGCAGACTGCAGCCAATTCTTGTGGCACCATCGCCCTGGTGCACGCCGTGGCCAACAATAAGGATAAACTGTCTTTTGGTGAGTGCAACTCTTACAACTTTAGTGGTAAATTTGTAAAATGTAATATAGTAGAACTGTGGTGTGTGTGTGTGTGTTCACAATTTGAAATTTGTCACTAAATATTCATAGAAAATTAAGCTCATAAATTAGGTGAAGTTTGACATGATCATTCATTACATTTAAAATTAAAAATAGTTTCATTATGTTTGCATTAAACTTCAAAAGTTGATATTTATTTTGCACCAAACTGTACCAGGAAAAAGGTGACTGTCATTAGGCTCAAAATGGCTAAACACCCGTAAAATAAACAAGTTACTTATTGACTAATCCTTCAGAGGAAACTTAAGCTGATGCCACTGACCTAAAGTAGTTGAATAAATAATGCAGATATTAGGTGTGAAAGACCAAAATATAAATGACCTTTTAATAACAAAGCTAATTTTTGTTTTCAGATGGTGACTCTGTCTTGAATGCCTTTTTGAAAGAGACTGCCAACATGTCTGCTGACGATCGTGCTAAATGTCTGGAGAACAACGAGGTACATTGTTAATAAGAAAATATGGTTTAGGTTTAAAAAAAATGAATTTGTTATTTCATTTTAATATTTTAATAACATGCCGTACCACAAAGACTAAAATGTGGATTTGGTGTCTGAACAGACTTGTGTAATGACTAAATCAATGATTAGCATAAAAAAAAAACATTAAACAATTCATAACGTTTCTAAATTTGTAGAATCTGATAACCTGTGAAGCTCTTAGCCACCTGAGGGCGCCATGCTCTTTAAAATTCTTCTTAGGAATGGGATATTTTGAACTTGTAAATGGAGCTTTACATCTTTTTAAATTAGTGACCTTTCCCATGTTGCACTGCTTCTTTACAAGTAAATTACAATATATTTTAGCGTTAATTATTTTTCCACATCTCTAGGCGATCTGTGAGGCTCACAATGAAGTTGCAAAGGAAGGAGAGTGCCGGGTAGGACACTGTTGGATTACATCTTTGGCTGACATTTGATATCACATCAAGCTTGGTTGCTTTAGTATGAGTCTGACTTATTCATTTACCTGCTGTACATGTACTCATTTTGACAATTGTAAATTACTGCATCTTCTAAGAATAAATGTTTTTTACAGCTAATATAAGTTGACGCATACAATATTAAAAATGCATTTTAAACCACATTTTTTGGAGTCAACTACTTTAATTCCTTTTTATAAAATTCAGTTTTATGTTTTTACAGCCTGAACCTGACAAAGTCAACTTTCACTTCATTGCCTTTGTCAATGTAAATGGACAACTTTATGAATTTGGTAAGCAGGCCCCCTTTATTGACTTGCATATAGATTTTTTTTTTTCACATTTACGATTCCTAAAAGCCTTGTATTTTGTGTTGAAGATGGAAAAATGAATGGACCAGTGAACCATGGAGCGACCAAAGAGGAGTCCTTTGTTGCTGTAAGTTATGTTAAGACCATTCGTTGACATCATGTGTAAAACTTATGTGGTTTTGAATAGGGATTCAACGATGCAGAAAATTCACGGTTTGGTTCGATACTTTAGTGTCACAGTTCAATATTTTTTTAGATACAAAAAAAGACAAATTTCCATGCCCTTGACTTGTAATTTATTGAAATTGATTATGAACATTTGTATAACCTCAGACGTAGTTTTTAAATTAAATGTTGCTGAAACGGCAAGTTTCTCCATGGATCTGCGCTCGACAATGCAGCCTCGATGGAGTAGTCGAACGTAGATCCAATAATTCATCTTCTGAAAACAAGATGGTAAAATAAATTTAGAACACCTGTATTGCTCGATACAAGTGCACATTACCTAGAGCAGTGGTTCTTAAACTTTTTTTGAGGTACCGAACCCACCAGTTTCATATGCGCATTCACTGAACCCTTTTTAGTTATAAATAAATGTGATCCCCCCCCACCCAAAATTCAAGATGGGTAGATTTTTTTTTTTTACTGGTGTATAAAATGAGCCGTGCATGAACATCACCTTGCTCAAAGAACAAAACCAACACTATGCATGAACTCACAACAAATTACAGTATGACTTTATTCTGGCCCCCCAAAAATATTTTGGCCCCATAAAAAAAATTTCTGCCCCCAAAAAATATTTTTTACTACTTTACTAATAAAAAATAAATTAGGATTTATTTTGAATAATTTGACATTTTTAATAACTTTTTTAGATTTTATTTTAGATACATGTGTTGTTGCACCGATAGTTATAAAGTGCCATAGATGCTGCACCTTATATCTGGCAAAAGTAAGGGGGGGGAAGGCTGAACTGTAGTTTTTATCAAATTATGAGTATTGATATATTAGTAATGTGGTTTCCTGCTTCAGTTTTTCAAACTATTAGCAACTACTCAACTGTGCAGAGGAAGTCTGAGTACTGAATTAACTTTCTAACAAAGACTACACTGACACACCACTGGAGATGAATCATATTTAGTTTTAATTTTTTTTACGCCATGCCTTTTTGAATTGTCAACTCAAATTACAATTTACCTAATTTTAAAGATGAGTAAACAATAACATGTGGACTTATTGGATCTTAAAGCCAGATGTTATCACAATATGCTGTCACTGAAAACTGCAGTTCCATGAAATTGATAATAGTTTCTAATTATACAATTGTTTTAAGACTTTTTTTGGATGAGACATTTGACTGAGAACTTAATTTTAAATATTACCAGTCATAATTACAATTTGGCAAAACTGTTGCAAATAGAACATGATCCATTTTATTTATTAAGCCATTTTTATATAGTTTAATTCATTTAAAAAAATTATAAACAAAAAATAAATAAATACAAAAATCACACTTGAAATGTAAGGAAAATTTCTATCTCAGGGTTAGGTTAGATTGTAATTTTCCAGCCCACACATTTCAATGTATGTTAACCTAATTTTTGTCTTTTTATTGCTTTCAGGATGCAGCCAAAGTGTGCCGTGGATTCATGGAACGAGAGAAAGATGAAGTCCGTTTCTCTGCGGTGGCTTTTTGTCAGTGTTAAATATTTGCCAGATGTCTAAATCAGTTAATTGTAAACCACAATGTTCTGAAACGTTTTAAACTCATAGAAAATCGATCTATGTGCACATCCAAATGCTGGCACTATGCACTATAAAAGATTTCACCTCCAACACAGTTGTCTTTAACTTGAGCTCATAAAAAAATAAAATCCAAACCATTTTGTTTTGCTGACACTTAAACACTGTTTCATGTGATTTCACCGTTCTGCTGTGAAAACATTACTGTCTTACATTATTTGAACATGTGTCACTCAGACTGCTGTAATACCTTTTGTGCCAACAAATGAGAAACATAAGTTAAAAGTTGTTTCTCTGCATGCCTTCAGCTGCTTTGTTTTTGGGTTCATTACAACTGGATGTTCTCCAAAGAATCCAAAGATTTTATTTTATTTTATTTTTTTGTAGGGTAAGTTGTATTTAATTTGCTTTAATGTTCTGAGTGGGTTTTCTTGGGTGATACTTTATATTTTTCTGTGAAAACTTGACTTTTCTTTGCATTGTTCAATGTTTTTTTTTTTTCCAGGTAAAAAGCACTTTATTTGGGACTTTCATTTAAATTGTCGATAAAACAGGCAAGCACAGAATCTGTAAAACATGTTTCATCTGAAGTGCTTTTGTATGTTGGATTGTTGGCTATCTGCTACATCTGTGTTCAAACTGTTTACCTTTTTTGCACTTTGCTAATCCTGTGTTGCTGGAGCACAGTAATGGGGGATTTAAATAAAGCAAATATTAAATGTTCAAGTGTTGTGTGCTTCTGGATCAGATTTTTAACTTGTTCATGTGTTCGTGTTTCTGTTTTAAGTCCTACTGTCCTATTTATAATTTATCCTAATAGTCCTATTTCTTACCTGTAGAAATATTGGTTTTAATTCAGCTCGCCACCATTTATCAATTCCCCAGTTTAGATTTTAGTTTGAACGGGACAATTGAATGTGCCATTATGAACTTAAATCCTGATTCATGTGCAGTATCTCAGGGCTGGAGCAGTTTGGTGAAGAATGGTGTAAACTGGAACTTAGTTTTGTGATTGCAGCCAAAAAATGCTTCTTAATACTGCTGTAACTTGGCAGGTAGTTGTATCAGTAAAACAAACGCTAAAAGAACAAATGATTTGACAGATTTGAAAATATAAATTCATAATTGTATGGGCAGTCCAGTCAATGGATGTGAAAAGCGAATTATTTCCCCTGTGATATAACAGGACATCCTCTGCAGCTCTCCCCCCGCAGAGATTCCTGTCCGCGCGCGCACGGCTCTGAGATGCGCGCGGCAGCAGCGGTGACTGGCTGGTACGGGGGTGAGAGGAGCTAGACTCCCCCACAGTTCATGAATCGATATTTTAAGCGCCTGGTTCGTGTTGCAGCGTCGCCAGAAGCAGCTTCTCGGTGTGCGCCATACGGTTTGCTGAGCACGAGGAGGAGGAGGGAGCTTCGTGATACAAACAAGCCTGCGCGTGGAGTTGCAGAAGCAAAGAGAGGAGGAGTGGGGAGGGAAGACTTTCGAAGGACGCTTCTTGCCTTTTTCCTTTTTTTTTTTTAACCGCATATATCTCCGTTTTGCCACTGTCCGAGTGACTCCGGGGCCGGTTGGACGGTTTGCCAGCATATGGCTAGCCCCGCTGCGTGTGGAAATTTCCCGAGTAGTGCCCCGCCACGGGAGCCGATGGATCCGAGTCATCCCGAGCCAGCCTGCCAGGAGGCACAGAAATGGATAGAGGTAAGTGAACCAGGACCCCCCCGGCCCGTACAGACACCCAGGGGCCACGCTGCTGCAGTAAATCGGGGGGATAGTGTCTCTGAGGAGGGAGGGGGAGGATATAAATACACCGCCTGCCAGCACGGGTTAGTCATCATCACCTGTTCGGGTGGACTAGGTAGCAGTATCGGGTTGCGATGTGGGGTAAACGGGTCTGCAGCTTGTAGGAACACTTCTGCTGCCTCACAAGTTTCTACTAAAGCCAACTTGGACTTTTACCTCGTTTCAAGCTAGAAATTAAAGCATGTCCTGCCTCGTTAGCTATCATCGGTTTGTTTATCTTTTTTTAGCTAGCTGTCGAAACGCCCCCGCCCCCCTCTTCGTGTTCAGGCTAGAGACGCCACACACCAACATTTGATCGGATCTGATAAGATTATCATTTTATGCTTTGCTGCATTGCTTCCACCATCATCTGCTTGGCTAAAAAACGCCCCCCTCCATAAGATGAGTGGTGAATCATGACCTATTTTGTTCCCATTCAACTGGAATATAAGCGAATAAAGCCTTGGGGGCTAAAGCATTTCTGTATATAAATATATACTGATGCTGAAGGACTTTGTAGGTTGTCTTCTTACTTTACAAGCTGATAGAGAGACGAGAAAAGAAATAAACAGCTGCAAACAGACAAGACGTACAAAGAAAATTGTTGGAGACATTTTGAAGGGTGCAGGTCAGTGGCGGATCTAGGATTTTTCAGTTCAAGGGGCCACAGTACTCTTAGAGGGGTTAACTATTTATTCAGTATCCTTGCACAAAAATCCCCAGTTTTTGTAAGGTTTATACATTTAATTAGGGACTTTGATAAATGCGCTGCCATATCCCGACAGTACGTGGGTCTGTTTTTTGTGATTTTTTTTTTTGCTCCTTTTCATGCTTACCATCTGCTTAGCATTTTGAAATCTAGATTAAGGTTTTATCTAGTTTGTTTTTTGCTTTGGTTTGAAAAATCATTGTAAAATTGTGACACACACTATGTTTATGGAGCTCTGCTCTTTCTTTATGTTATAATGGAAGTCAATGGAGCACTTGCTTCCTAATTTTCAGCCTTTAAAGACCTCTAAATCCTTAATAGGTGGTCCGATTAAAAAAAAAAACTAAATAATTTTGGAATCTGTACATAGAGCCTTACGAGTACAAAAAGCAGCACTAAAATAAGTTTGAAAATTACAAAGTCCCTAATTTAATCAGTCACACATGTTCAAACACTAAAGCTTGCACAGTAAATTGTCCTTATCAATTTTACATGCACATAAATAAAATGCACTCAAACACACAACATATGAGAAAATCTAGCCATCGTTGTAAAAATTTTTCTGCAGGACTGTTCACATTGAAAAAGACTGTTAGCTTGCTTCATGTTGGACTTTCCTATTTGACTCACTGGTGCCACTAGTGGTTGGAAGTGGAACTGCAGCCACCATCATTGTTCTTGGGCAAGGACAGATGAGTGAAAGGACAGGGGCCCTTCAGAGGGCCAGTCAGATATCAGATGGGGCCAGTACCCCTGTGACCCCGCCCATAGAACCGCCCCTGGTGCAGGTACAGCCCCAAACTCTAATTTCAACTTTGTGCTAATCTTAATTTAGGAAAAATGTTTAATATTTGATACATAAACTAAGAAGTGTAAAGAAAGTCTAGCTAGTCTAGCTTAGTAACCAAACATAGGTGTCTGTCTCTCTCTATGTAGAAAAAAAAATGTTCACTAGGTTCTTAGATTAACCAGATAAGGTCAAATTTGAGCGTGTGGATATCTGTCCCAGTGTTGACTCTTCTGTTTTTAACTTGCTTATGCCAAATGTAAAGTATACATTACTATTTAGTGCAACAGATACTATTTAAAACATCTTTTGTGGAGAGGCAGTGAGTTTAAAGATGTGTTGGGATATCATGGGATTTAAGATTTTTAACTCCACAAATAATCATAAAAAAGGCACTGTTAGCCTTGACACATTTAAATCCTCTCATACAAAATGTTCTTTTGATAACATTATGATATGATAAAAGGATCACGTAGTGCTGCCATGAAATAGCCTATATTTAGAAATCAGTAAGAATTTTCATTAACACTACCAAACTTGTTGCACAAACAATAATTTAAGGCAAGCCAAGTAGATTCACTTATAGACTCAACTTACCCAATTTCTAAAACTTTTGAATATTTTGACTTGGGTCTACATAAAGATAAAACATTCCCTGAATTTAAAATAATCCTGTTGCATGAGAACAGTAAGCCACAGGAAGAAGAGCTTCTAGACTGTCGAAGTTTAGTCTCCACTAAAACAGCATTTTATCAGTGAGGACTGTTTACTCTTGGTTAATGCTGACCTCCTAAATCCTAATCTCTCCTCCCGTGTCTCTGCTTTGTCATCTTCCTGCTCCCTAATTCTCTGGTTATTTTCAGTCTGGTCAGGCTCAGTCTTTTTCCAGTGGTGTATTTATACACTCTTGCAGGTGGGGAGCAAGATTCAGGGTTAACCAAGCCGCTCTCTGTTCCCGTGCATCTCAGTCATTTCTGTGAAGTATGCAAAGTCTATGCACACTCACACACGTCAGTCAGCGCTGAACGTCGGACACACCCCGGTTGGGTGACACTGGGTCACTATGGGAACATAACACCGGCGGGCTCTCAGGTGTTTCGAGGGGGCAGTCAGGCAGCAGGCTGTATGTGACTAAATGATATGAGCAGGAAATAGGCCAGGCACAGACAGTCTGATTGTATAAAAAATAAAAATAAAATGGATTTAGTCACTTCAACAAGGATGAGAAGCCTCATGTTGCCTTAAAACAGACTGTTAGCTGGTTGAAGTTTGTTTTGCAGTTAACCTCTACAGTTACTGACATTCACACTTTAATACAGCACATGAAAAATAAATACAAGAATGTATGCGACTGAATACGCATGTGTGTGCCAGATGTCACAGCTGTCCCAGGCAGATTAACTCCAATCGTTCCAGACAGCCAGCTGTGTCTGTATCAGAGAGTGTGAGAGAGGAGACTCGCAGATTTTCCATGCATCAAGGGCTGAGTGATCGAGTGAAAACAATGACCGCACAGACTTGGTGTTGGCAAACATGTTTGTCATATTTTAGTGGTTCAGAAGCTGCGGAGAAAGTATTTTTTGTGATTTTTTTTTAATGCTTTAGCCAGTATTAGTAATGTAAAGTTTTGCTAGTTCTTGTTAATGTAGGTTTGTGAATTTGATTTATAACGGGAAACATCTGTGATATTTACGGTACTTTTTTTTGTGTCACTTCAGTAGAGAACGAAACCAAATATTAGTTTATTTAGTTTATTTATTTCTTCATCATCAGTGACTTTTTTAAGTGAAGAGAAAATAGAGACAGAGAGAAAAACAGAGAGAGAAGTAGTTAGAAAGATTGAAATTGCGATTAGAAGTATATTAAATGTAAACCAACAAAACACAGGACCACACACCTAACATCTGTCCGCTCACCTGAAAAATAAATGGATAAATACATGGAGGGCATATACAGTATAAAAATATACACATACCCATACATATGTAAAGATATACATACATACATGCCTACATTCATAAATATTGTCAGTATATACACACAGACATATATACACACTCAGTGACCAGTCAGAACCCCCCGGATCAGAACACCTGTTTGTGAGCAGTTGTGAACATGCGTGTATATACAAGATTTCTCCAATGGAATATTTAATAGTGACAACTGTGGAGGACCGGAGACCCAAAACCAAGACACGAGGCAGACATAGGGAAGACCAGAGCCCAAGGGCCTGAGAAGGATCCCGAGCGCAGAGCCCCAAGCGGCACCCGCACGGGAAGATCCGCCCACCCACCCCCCAGATCAGACCATAGGGGAGAACTGGGGGAGTACCCCCAGCGACCACACGCACAGCCCCCGGGGCCAGCAGCGACAAACTCATAGGCCCCACCGGCACCCGCCGTACCAGAGCAGATCCAGGAAAGGGCACAGAGGTCCGGGCCCCCAGGGCGCACCCCCTCCAGGCCAAAGCCCRACAGGGCCAGAGGCCCCGAGCCCCAGCAGGCAGTCACCAGGCCAGGCCGGCACACACCCCAGCGCCCAGCCCCAGACCCCGGGAACCCCCAGCACGCCGGCGGCCAGCCGCACACCCCACCGGGGAGCTGAGTAGCAGCGGGCCCCCAGATAAACCAACAGGAGGGGCAGCCCAGACCGCAGCCTGACAAATACCCAAACATACACAATCGCACCATCCCACCCTCATCCTCACCCCAACTCAATCAAAGACATACAAGGACGCCACATTCCACTCATACCCCCGATACACACTCTAAACCCCCCAGGTCCAGGACATGCACCCACCCCCTATTGGAGGCAGCACACACCCGAACCCAGGAGGTAGACCCAATCATTCTGAGGTGGAGAGGAGCAGATAGCCAAGGCCTGGCCCGGGACGCACCAGGACGCCTGGCCAGCCCCCCACCACAGAGAAGCCACACCCATGACCATCCCACCACACCGCCAATGACCAAGTGCACCCCCCCAGCCATCCACCCCCCGGAACCCAGCAGCCACCCCGGCCAGGGGGCCACACAGGAACCAAGAGCCACACCTCAGGAGACCAAGCAGCACCAGGGAGGATGGAGAGCCAGCCCCGCCCCCGGCAACCGTTCAAGCCCCGAGCCCACCCACAGCCCAGGACCGCACCCGGTGGCCCGCCCTTCTTCAGGACCCCCTCCCCAAATGGCAGTCGGGGAACGGGATGGGAATAAAGACCCTGACACACACACCCCCACCCCCAGATGTACTGTTGGTGCGTGTTGTTCTATAGAGTAATTAAAAAGGGAAAGAAGAAGAAGAGGCAGAGACCGGCGTGGTGCCAGTTTCCCCTCCACCACTACTCTAACCCAAAACCCTAAGTGTCTATATGCAAACCTTGGGGGGTGGGCACAGGCACAGGAGGCGAGAGTGGTGCCATCCGGCTACCTATAGTCATGAGTGCCCACCTTAAGTTCTATTTGTGAATGTCATGAAAATGTTATGATTGAATGTCTAAGATGTACAATAAAATTTGGGGCCCAGGTGGTTATGGCAAATAGAAATGTAATATTGTTGCTCTTATAACACAACTGTGCCACAAAAAAAAACCCTACATGGGTGAAGTTGAAAGTGACGAGGATGGAGGTGTGCTGTGAGGGATGGGGAGAATAAGCTGAAGGAGCAAAATTTTCCCACAGGGAGTCAGCTCCCCCGCTGGCCCCAGTAAGCCCTCCCGTTGCCCGAAACCCATCCAGGAAGAGCAGCCCAAATACCTCTCCCTCCAGGCAAACCGTCAAGCCCACGGAACCCCAGACCATGGACTGACAGAGCCCCGAAGGCCACCAGAAACCGGGACCAACACTCCACCACCCCTCAGAGCCACCCAGACCCCCAAGACCCGACCCCAGCCACAGAAGCCGGCCCGCCGCCCAGAGAGGCCACCGTTTCCCAGCAGGGATGACCCGGCCAAGAGCGCCCACCCAACCGCTGACAGAGCAAGGGGGCACCCAGGGCGGGCCCCCGCCACAGCAAAGGGACCAACCAGCTGGCCCAGCACGGCCCCCAGCCACCACCAAAGGCCACCAACCCAATCCCTACCCCAGAAGACATACTACACCCACCCCAACATTTGGGCCACTATCAGAACATATAACACAAGGACACCCAGGCTGGGTCGCCCCCCCACTAGCTCCATGTCACGCCCCCAGCCAACCCTACCCCCCAGCCCATGAGAACCGCAGACCACCAGCGCACCAGAGGCCCCCAGCCCAGAGCAGGGCGCCAGAGCACACACCGGCCCAGGGCCCGGCAACCCGCCCGCCAGAGCCCAAGCCCCACCGCCCCACCAGAGCCGCAGCCCAGGGGCAGCACGCCCCCAGAGTCCCAAGCCCCCCCACGCCCACCCCGGACCTGCCCCAGCACGGCCAGGCAACCGGACCAGCGACCCATGACTGCCGCTACAAACTACCCAAGGGCCCACATGCAGCCACCAGAAGACATCCCCCAGAACCACCAAGGCCCTCCTTAGAGCGAGAGCAGCGTCACCCCCACTCCGGAACCCCCGGTGGCCGGCCTGCCCCCAAGAACCCCCCAGAACCCAATACACCCCCACCAGCCTCAATGCCCTATTTACGGTACTTTAAAAATGTATTAATATCTATTGAACTTCTTTATATTGTCATGTTACAATCACAAACTTTAGGGTACTTTACTGGGTGACAAACCAACACAAAGTTCATAATAAGATTGATTCTCTGACCAGCTTCTCTGCTGTAGAGCAACATCCTGATAGGTTGATGCTGCCACCACCGTGTTTTACAGTAGGTGGAGGGGGTGGGGTGTTTCACCTTGTCAGCACACGGCCTGGTTGGGAGGGTCATACTTTCTGATAATATGTGGGTTTTCACAAGAATTTTCCCAAGAAAAGTTCTGTATTGGTGCACGAAAAAACCAAAACTGTCGTATATTTGGCCTTTTAAAAACAGAATCTATATCATAAAGGCCCTAAATCTTTGTACAAATCTGATAGTTATCAACCATCTGGTAACACTGTTGCCCATTCTCTCAGTTTATGTGGTCAGCCATGTCTTGGTAAGTTTGAACTTGTCCCATACTATGTTTCTTGGTCATCATGATGCCTTTTGATCACTAGTGTTTTGTAAAAAACCTCTAGGGCCTTTAAATACCAGTAGAATTTATATTGAGGTTAAACTGAAATGTGAATTTCTACAATTTCTTTTATTGTTTAATTGTTTTTGATTTGAAGTTAAACTCGAGAAATCGGGGTAACCATGTGTTTAGATATTCAAAAGTCTTGATTTTATGAAAAATACTCTTTTGAAATGAGACTACTAACAACATATTTTTTGTCTTTTTCTCTACTTTGTTTATGCAGCCTCTCAATCTTTCCTTCTGTGTGTTATTAAAACAAAAGTTTGACCCATTTCTGCTGTTTTTTTTTTTGAACCTTCACTCACAGAGAGACGCACACTCTCAGCCTTGGGCTTCCACGGTAGCTGCTGCCCTTCAGCCAGCGTGCAGTGAGCCACCCTTCCGCCACGCTGGCTGAGAATGAGCGACATGTCTCAAATTACTACCACTGGAATTAAAATACCTTCAAGGCTTTTTGGCCTGAAGGTATCTGATTGTTATCTTAACAAACATTGCATAAAACTCGGACCCTTCTTTTACATTTTACACGTTTAGACAAAGACATTTTTTAAAAAAAAGCTTAATATTTATGACTTCTGTACAAAAAAAAAAAAACCCCACTCAAGCCAGTTACATCGTTTAGTCTCAGCGGACTCCAGACAGTCGTTCAGCTCCTCCACCCTCCACCTACTGTCTGTACACAGATTATATACACAAAACAAAAATACTTGTCCTACTCGCACCAAAATGCAGTGCTTTCTTCTGCTGTTTAATTATGCATGATCAGGCTGTAAATGTTTAAAGACTCTCAGTCTGTGAAACATTGAGGGATTACCAATTTCTGTTCTAATCCTGAAAAGAGTGAAGACATTTTTGTAACTCAAGAACATTTTGGTGGGTCATTATTTTCTCAGGATTTAGACTTGGTTTAGTTACAGGAATTACATTTATTTGTAGGGGGTTCTTGTAAAGATATGTTGCATGTGTTGGTGAAAGACAAGGAAAAGAAGGGATACAAAAGGGAAGCATCTGGTCTGGTCGTTTTCCTTTGTAACATAACACAACAAACTTTTTGTCACATATCGTCACACAGAAATACTGTGTGTTTTATTTTAACACATTTGGTACATGTGCACAAATATATGTAGATTTTTGAAAGTAAATTGTGACAATGCTATTAGAATACAGAGCAAAAAATTACACTTAAGGGAAATTTAAGGCTGGGCGATAAATTGATTTAATCAATTATTTCGAATTTGCCTTTTATAAAGATTTAATTTTGGGAAAATCGAGATTTTTTTCCCACCGGTGCACTCTTTGGGGCTTCTGTAGTTCAGAGGTCACCCCATGTGCCCCTCAAGACGCTCGGTACACGCCATGACAATATGGCAGCTAGCAAAGAGGATCTACTTCTCAAAACAGGCGCTGTTTCTTCAGTTTTCTGGAACTGGTTAGGTTTTGCAACCTTGGACTTGGAGCAACAAACACCTCACTACAAAATCTGTTTGAAGGCTCTTGCTGAAAAAGCAGGAGTACAACAAATTTGTTTCAAGCCCTGAAACAGAGGCACTCTGCTAAGTGGGAAGCAAAATTGATTAAAATCAAAAATCGAATTTGGGATGAAAAAAATCAGAGATTTTTTTGGGGGGGCCATATCGCCCAGCCCTAGGAAATATGTGTCCCATTTAATAAGTTAAATTGTTACTGTCAGACAATCAACTTTTTCAAATTGTTTGTGATTTTATTAACCCCTCCCATGAGCTGTCACTGGCCATCGACTGGACTGCTTTATAAATAATTGGCATCAGCAGCTAAAAGCCCATACTAGTCCAAGACTGGCATTAATGAGCAACAGATTCAAATAGTATAGGCCTGCCGTTAACAGTTTGGGTGCTAACTGTAATCTGTGCTAATCTGGATTAGACAGCTAAACAGCATCACTCAACCCTCTCTTCTCTTTCCCCTATTAATCTGTGGCTTTGGTTACACAACATTCTTTACTGTTTCTGTTCGTGGTTTTATATTTTGACAGTATGCCTCTTTACCGATTCTCTTCTCGTCCCTTCTCCGTACAGTGGGAAAAAAAGAAAACGTAGTCCTGGTTAGAGGATTGAGAGGATTGTGATTTATGATGGCATTTTGGAAGGAAAGCAACGAGGACACAGCAGTGTGTCACTGACCTGGAATCTCTTTAATTTGTCGCTGCTGAAACAAAATGTTGGGGGAAGGGCAAATAGGAAAGCAGCAGGTTCTTTTAGTCAATCAGTTACTGCACTGTGATTTATAATCTACAATGATAAACTGGGCTCTTATTAAAGCTCCCATAAACATTGCAAGTTGATAAGAGTTGTTTTAATCAACGTGTTAAGTGTATTAATGGTGATAACTGGTTTTTGCAAATAACATTACATAATACCAGCTACTGCTTATCCATAGTCGGGCCACAGAGGCAATACGTCCGGGAGAGAAAGAACAAAACTACGAATACAGATGTTCTAAAGGGGTTTTCTCCACAAGTTGGCTGGGCTTTCCCATATAGGGTGAGAAGTTCAGTCATCTGAGAGAGCTTTGGAGTAGAGCCACTGCTCCTCCACATCCAGAGGAGCCAGCTGAGGTGGTTCAGGTCTTCCATGCTTGTCGTACTGGGAGGAGACCCAGGACATGCTGTCTCTCAGCTGGCCTGGGGAGTGCCTTGGATTCCTCCCAGAAGAGCTGGAAGAGGTGGCTGTGGGAAGGGATGTCTGCTCAAGCTGCTGCTCCTGTGACCCAATTCTGGAACAAGCAGAAGATGATGGATGGATGAATCATAAAATAAAGTGCTAAAAGTCCAGGTTGACTCCAAATAGGTAATCAAAGATCTTGTGCATTCTGTTACTGCTAAGAGTACGTTTCGGGGTTCAGCTGCTACTATCACACCAGACTTTAGTTCAATATCTGTAAAACTGACTGATTTATAGTCTTTTTTTATTTATTGGCTGATTTTTTTTAAGGTCAGTTGGCAGTGGCAACCATCTGGTTATAAAATTAGGGATGCACCAATACCAGTTTTTCCTCAGCCAGTACTTGTACTGGTACTAAGTTAGAACCACAGTGATTATAGAAACATGTTTTTTTAAATTAGAACCTGGTATTAAATCAGATACATGTCTGATGTTTGTCAGAACAAACCTCAGTCTAAACACTGCTTTGCTATCTGCCCCACTTCCAGTCCACCTCTGTAACATCTGTCTCTTCCTGTTGTCCTCCGGCAGGCTGTAACAGGGAAGAGCTTTGGAGTCGTGGACTTCCGCAGCGCTCTGGAGAACGGCATCCTGTTATGCGAGTAAGCCTGCACCACCATCACTTACTTCGGTTTCTGATGCCTGACGTGGCAACGACACACATAAACACCCCTACGGCTCAATAAATCTCTGCTCCCCCACACAGGCTGCTGAGCGCAATCAAACCAGGGCTAGTCAAGAAGATCAACAGACTGCCCACCCCAATCGCTGGGCTGGTAATAAGACACTCTGCAGTGTGACATTCAGCTCATTCAACCACCTTGTTCTGTGATAAACTGTAGTGTCCCTGTTACTTCTAGGACAACCTGTCCGTCTTCCTGCGGGGCTGTGAAGAGTTGGGTCTGAAGGGCTCCCAACTGTTTGACCCAGGGGATTTACAAGACACCTCAATACGTGCTAACCTCAAGTAAATGACTCATTATACATGGATATTTGGCCTTTTCTTTCAATATATGTCTAATGAAGATTTATTGTAATATAAATAACGTACATCGCTCTTTTTAGGGACTCTGACTGCAACCGCAAACTAAAAAATGTAAGTAGCTACTCAATACCTTTTATTATTAATATGTGTGTTTTTCCAAATACAAACCAAACCTTGTACCTGCATCTGTCAGGTGCTGAACACAGTGTTTTGGCTTGGGAAGGCTGCCAGTGGCTGCGCCTCTTATAGTGGGCCGACGCTTAACCTCAAGGAGTTTGAAGGGCTTCTCGCTCAGATGAAGATCGTAAGTGAACTCCTAGGATCTGGTTTCATACATGGACATGTCTGACTGAAGCAGATAGGGCATTTTGTTGACTGTATCCTGCCATTTATTTAATATATTATATAATTTGTGATGGTTTTATCATCATAACCTATTCCTGTTAAACTAGTGTGCTTTGTCTTTTATGCATCATAACCCTGCCACCTTTGTGCTCTTCCTGTGTGCCACTTCAGAGTTTTTATCACGTTTCACCAAAAGGCCCTGTGTCTGTTTGCATGTCTTCATGTGTCTGTCTGTCACCACAACATCTCATTAAACTTTTGATAAATCTTAATGAAAATTTGCTGGAATGTAATAACTTGATGTGCATCTAAATGTGATTAACTTCTGGAGTCAGCACAATTCATGATGACCACTACAGACGGCTAAACGGTCCGTTTTACAGATAATTAAACTAAAGTTTGGTGTGGTGTTGCATCGTTCAGAGTTGAAGAATGGACTGAAAGGAAAAACTATAGAAGCAGTTAGGAAGAGGATGTAGATAGTGGTGTGTGGAGGAAGTGCAGGAGATGGAATTGTGAGTTTCCTGTCATTATTGAGACATTGGAGAGGTCATATACTTAGTTTATGCTCCAATGCAGTCAGTGCAAACAGGTTATGAATTTAAACAGATTGGCTCTGTTCGTTATTTCCACTGTCTTTATGTGTACTTCGTCTCAGAAAGTTTCTTACATGAGGCAATGATAAACTTATAGTATGTTAATAATATGAACAAAGAAGGTTCTGATAGTGACAATGTCTTTTTAGCTTTTAAAGTACGGTTTATGAACAAATGATCAGGCTTTCTGAAGGTTTTTTTGTTTGAAACTTGGCTGCTTTTACACTAATTTTTTGTCCATTTTTTGTACCTAGCAATGATGGTTTATTGTGTGGTATATTCCTAAAAAACTAGGAAAGTGGACATGTGGTGGACAAAAGAAGATGTTTCTGGATTAAGTAAAAACATCTACATCAGATGAACAGGATCAGAAAGTTGGGTTTTTAAGAAACAGGAAAATTTCAATCCAAATGTGCCTCATCTTTGACTTTAGCATCTACTGTATGTCAAGTTTTCAGCTAAAAGCTCTTTGAGAAGTACTTTGTTTGTGCTAAAATACTGTTTTGTATTTGTCATACTGGTATGTTTGGAGATTTTAATAACTTTGTATAAAAAAATGGGAGCAAATTGTAAATCATGATCCAATTTGATCCAATTTAAAAGTGATTTACTAAGTTTTTTTCTCTGACTGACTGAGTTCTTGATTTTCGAAGCCTTTCTATGCCTGAATGAGAAGTCAGAGTTAAAAGGCTTGGCAAGAACAACCAATGATTCTCTGAAAGTGGCCAAGTACCATTTGAAAATTTACGATCTTGTACAAATACATCACAATGAAACTGAATACACCATAATGCCTTAAATAAAAAAGGTGAACAAAAATTCCTCATGACCCCTGTTGCAAAACGTCTGACTTGACACAGTTTGAATAATTCCCTGCTGTGTGTTGTTTGTGTGTTGTTTGTGTGTGCAGGACAGTGAAGAGGGTGGCGACAGTCCTCAGCAGCGCAGCGTTAGGGACAGTGGTTATGACTGCTGGGACTCAGAGAGGAGTGAATCTCTCTCTCCACCACAACACACCCGAGACAACTCTCTGGACAGGTCAGACATCCATCAACAAATGATGAGGCTGCATACTCACAAGTCCTCATAAATAATCTTTGTCGACACAGTGTGTGTAATTTTATTCAAATGAAAATATGAGTTATTTTAGTTGGTGGTTTGACAACTCTTCATATCTATTCTGGTGTGTTTTCACAGCCTGGATTCTTTTGGCTCCCGCTCACATCAAAGTCCCTCTCCTGATGTTGTAAATCGAGGCAACAGTGATGGTTGGTTCAGATAAACTTCTTCTTTTTTTTATTTATAACTTAATACAGCTGCTTGCTGCTTCTCTTTATTCTTTATACGCAATTTCTTAATATTCAGACATGAGGTTGGTTGTAAAACTCCTCTTAAGGTTTAAAAAGGAAGTGCAAAAATGTTGAACTATCCCTTTAAATAGAAAACTATTCATCTGTGAATAAATGGACTGCTGTTCTTTAGCATGTTGAGATTTTAACCTTGGGATAAGGTGACTGATTAGACTGTCTGTGGACAACAGCTGAACATACTGGCCTGTGTGTGGTGTATATGTGTGTGCTGGCATGTTTTTGTGTGTGTCAGAACCCAAGTGCCTCAAATATTGGTCTAAATAGCGATCACTGGAAATTTGGACCTTTAAATTTAGATTGAGGTCAACATTTTGTCTGTTTACAGTTAGCAATTGTGTTGTGTGTGTTAGTTGTGCTTTACACAGGTTATCAATCACTCCTGTTCGTATTGTTTTGTTATGAGAAAATTATTTATACACATCAAAGGGATTTAAATGAACGACTTCCCAGAGGTAGGAAAAGCCTCATTTCCCAACATCCTCTGCAGGTGATAAAGTGAGCCTCCACTACAAACCAAATACTGTAAACAATGGATTTAACCTTACCTTTGTCATCATGCCAGCCAATACAACTTTCAGAATTGGTTTCAGTTATTAGCTTCCACAATTACTGTGGAAGGCGAGTGCTAATTAGTAAATGTGTTAATTGAATCTGGAAGATTAGTTAGCAAACAAGGCACATCCTGATAGGAAGCACAGTGTCAATAAATCTTTTTCTCTGAATGCCTGCAGATTCAATAAAAAACTTGAGTTAGGTGACTTCACTGTGCCAGACATTTTCTTTCTCCCTTCCTGTCAGAAAATGTGCTTTTTCATGTTTATGTCTAATCTTTACTGGTTCCTTTATCACCAGAAGTTAGCTTTCATGTTCCTTCTTTTGGTACTCTTGCTTTTTTAAAAGCTTAGGTTCATCACACGAGGCGAGCAATCCAAACTGGTTAGTTTTTGTTTTCTTTACACCCTTTTTCTTTTTAGTGCTTGCTATTTGTTTTAAATCTGCTATGAATAAACTGAAATTAATACGTTTGTGATTATAATGTGCAGGTTTAGTTTTAAAATATGTTTCTTCCTATCCAGTCTAATACAGACTGCCTGCTAAAGGCAGGTGTAAAGTGGGTCCTGTATGTTAGTAGGGATTTGAAAAACACATTTTTATAAATGACCCTTTGGTTTTCACTGTTCTTTGACGCCCAGGGCGATGCAGCGACTCGGAGGCTGATGCATCCAGCAGGAAGCCAGATGTGAGGAAGGACGACATGTTGGCCAGAAGGACTGCCAGCAATGAGTCAAGATGCTCCATTCCTTTTAACCAGTTTCTTCCCAACCGAGCCAACCCCAGCTCCTACGTCTGTGTCCCACGACGGAAACAACACACAGAAGAGATGGAGCAACGGAGGTAAAAATCGAAACAGAAATATTATTGTCAAAATGTAGGAATTTTTCATTAACTATCTAGACGAGAGCTAAAAAAGGTAAAAGGAGTCTTTTTACCTAATCATTCCCTGCTGCTACACCGTTCCCCAGTCATCCTCGAACTGCTCACGAACAAAGCAAAAGAAGCGGAGTACACCACAAATCTCCCAAAACCGTCACTTGGGCGCCTGAGAACAATGGTGAAAATATGAAACAAGTCGAGGACGTGGACGTGTTGCAGCAGAGGAGGTTGCAGATGTTGGAAAAGGCAGGGATTAAAGTACTTCCTGCTGCCGTTCGCTACAACAGGTCAGGGTGGATGGGCATGAGCGGCGCTGCTGCTGTTGGTTTGTGCTCACTAACAAGACATTGTGTTGGAAAATTAGTGGTTTGTTTACATTGATGGCATGTTCGTTTGGCTTTGGGAGACTCATTTCTGAAAAAGTTTGTTTCATATCCTGCATATCTAATAGATTTATCACTGTTTGAGATGGATGCACAGAAGTGATGGTCAGTGAATTGTAATGCGATGGAGGTTTCAGTGGGCGTGAATGAGCACCTACTCTGGATTGTTCATCTCCCTTTTTCTTTCCTGAACTGAAGATTAATCTGAGTGCAAACTAACCAATAGACCGGCTGCACATGCTTATTAATGCATCTGGTGAATAAAAGATGCCATGGACATGTGATGCTTTTTTAAAATCACTTTGCCCCATCATGTCATCTACAACTCCAGCCCTCCCGTGTCAGAGGAAAAAGAAGTGAAGCCAGCGTCCCCGAGCATCATCCTTCGCTCTGAAAACGACTTTTTAAGTTCTCATAAATCTGCATGGGATTCTCCGTCTGATGAAGAAGAGGAAACGGCGAAACAAAAAGTTCCAGACCTTCTCAAGGACGACCTGGCGTCTCGAAGAGTTCATCGTCGTCCTGTGGTTTCTAAGGTCCATCAGTTTCTTCCCCCTCCTGTTTGCACCAACAAAGACCGTGAGCGCTGGGAGGACATTAGACGAGCCTCTCAGCGAACGCTGCAGGAGAAGGACATCAGGTTAGCTGTGTTCACCTGGAGTTCTTATTTTCCCCCCTAATTTGTTTCTAAACTTTTTATTTTCCTGCTCTGCCTTCCTGTGGGTGGCGTCATCCCGTGTGTGTTGGCGTGGGTAACGTGTGCCACATGATGCCTCTCTGGTGGCTCTGTGATTGGACAGTGAGAAGGAAGCACTCCCTGACATCATAGCTCGCAAAGAGAACATCTTCTTAAAGGAGGAGGAAAAGGAAGATGAGGGAGAAGAGGGAAAGGATAAGGCGATGCCTAATAAACAAAGGGATGACTTGGCTCTTAGGCGGGCTCAGAGTAAGCCCCTCCCTCTCAGGGACGGACCAATGAGCTTTGTTTCATCCTCCATGAGCCTGGCTGATATACAGAAGTGGGAGAGACTCAGGATGACAGAACCAAGGTGCCCAACACACACTCTCATTCTGAGCAAACATGCAGTAAATGCTGATAAATGTTGCTGTTGTGTGTGTGTCTATATTTTTGTGTTGGCTTTTACAATAATGAATTGAAGCTTTAATACAAAAGTGACTAGTGAAATCTTCAGAAAATCCTCTGGAGATAACACACTGTTTTTTTTTGTTTTTGTTTTTGTTTTTGTTTTTTTGCTTTCACTGTTTTGAAAGAGCAATGCATTAGTAGAAGACCAAGCAGTATTTCCATCAGATTTACTAATACCAGTCAGGGATAGAAAGACGAATGCATTCAAATTTTAAGCTTTTTTTCTTTAGAAATACTAACGTTTTTACTTGATCATCACATTAGCTGTCAGTAATTAATTGTGTCTTCAAAAACTAGTTTTACATCTTGTAATTTATGAACTTCCCCATTCATTTTTACTGGGGTTTTCCTTCATGTTCTCATCTGCTTGTTTATTGTCCCTGTTATTGTGCAATTAGCCGACTTGATTCTTGTGTGACTGAATTGAAGCAGAGCAGATTTGGCTGGTGTGTGTGTGTGTGCGCGCGTGCGTGCGTGTATTTGACTGAGACAAAAAAAGAGGCGACTGTTGGCTGCGAGCACTGCTGCAGCTTTGTTTTTCTGGCCGTGCTGATGTCATTAGGACATGAGGAACAGGAGAAAGAGTTTGTTGTGCTCTCAGAGGAGCAGCAGTGAGCAGGACAATGTGGCTACCTACAGTTTTTGTGGATAAAAATGCTAATGTCCATCCACACTTCCTGTCCTGCTCAACATTTCATCCTACGCAGTGTTATAATAGTTAACTAAAACTAACCAAATAACAAAAACTGAAATTGAAAAACATTTTAGTTAACTGAAATAAATAAAAACTGTAATAAAATGAAAAAACGATAACTAAAACTGTATAATCTTTTTACAAAACTAAAACTAACTGAAATTATAGATGGAATAACCTTAGTTTTAGTGTTTGTCAATTATTTTCTTTTTTTTATTGAGTAGTTTCACATTAGCTGTGGGCATCTTACAGCAACTTATGGTCCATAGCAACACTTGTTTACAATCTGCTGCTGCTCAGCATTGTCTGCAAAATCAGACAGCAAAAGTTGGGAGAAAACAGCAATGTCAACTGTGGGATTTTTTTTTTTTTTTTTGAATATGACTGAGAGAAAAATAAAAGCAAGTGTCTTGTAGTGGAAACAGGTGATAAAACAGGTGGAATGCTTCTCAAGTGAAAAACTTCACGAATCAAACTCGCACAAGATGGCTAACTATGACTATCTTGACACGCTAGCTTCTCTCAGTAGCTCGTGAAAAACAACGGGTTGCACCGGTTTGGAGACAACTATTGTCATTGTCCTAAAATAATTACCCAAGTCCTTAGTTGGCTAAATTGAGTTACGTAATTATTTTAGGAAGGTGTCTCTATAATGGACTGCTTTAACTAGTGACCAAATAGCCATTGGTTAGTTAACTAACAGGAAGATCACAAGCTTGAGGATGGCATTGGCGAATATGTTTAATCAAACTATAAAACAAACTAATACTAGAACTAATAAACACTGAACTAATCTAAAACTAAGCATTAAAATGTAATAATAACTACGAAAAACTAGCAAATCCACTGTACAAATTAATTAAAACTAACTGAATTAAAATAAAAAAGTCTAAACGAAATAAAACTAAACTATAATGAAAAACCCAAAACTGTTATAACCTTGATCCTACGTTTCGTTTTCATGGTCTGATCTTCTTGCTCATGTTTTGTTTCCCACCCTGTTTCTGTGTTGCTCTTTCGCCGGCTGTGTGGACTGTCTGCGACTGTGCGTTGTTTGCTTGTGAGGCTGGGTTTGCAGTGAGGATAAGCCAGCCTCCGTGTGTCAGGCTTGTCTGCAGAGAAACTGCAGGAGCCCTTTGAGCGGAGCAGCAAAGGCTCGCCGAGGTCACAGCAAAGTCGTGACCTTTGGGGGCGTGACTGAGATCGAGCAGCCTGTAGACAAAGTCACGTCAAGTGAAGGGGAGGAGACGGAGTTGCTTAGACGACTCCTTTCCAAGGCAACGGTAGCCATGCCTACTGTTGGCCTGAGGTCCCAGCTTTCAGAGCGGGAACGCAGGTACGAACGAGGCCAAATGCAAGACAGCTTACAGCAGTGGCTCCAACCCAAAGCCGCCTGCATTAACATAGTATAACATAGTCTGGTCTGCACAGAAGAGCAATAAGGCCTTTTTCTGCTGCTTTTTTAAAGTAAACTGCTTGTTTCTGTCAACTTCAAGCTTCTGCTGCCACAGTTGGATTTACTATCACCGGTAGTGTGAAAGCACTTCTTCTGCTTGTAGTTGAGTGTAATAATGAGAAATTGCATGATAAATCAGTCTGGTGAAATGACCTGACTGCTCATACTGTATATCAACGTTTACACTTGAGCAACAGCTGAGTCAGAGTTCTGCCAAAAAAAAATGTTAAGTTAGAACCATTGATCTTATTACTGGATTGAACATCGACTCAGCTGCTACAGCTAGTGACGCGCGCCTATAGGCGCCATTTCTATGCATGAAAACGATACAGTTCCAGTGCGGGATGTGCATCAGTCTGTCACAAAAACATTTTGAGCGCCCCTGTTTTTTTTTATCATGTTTAATGTAAAATATAGATTAATTTAAAGCTGAGAAAGTTGTGAATGTTGGGATTTGTAAAAATATGTATTCTCCCAAGAGATAAATCTATAAGCAGTCTAGGAACTTTTCATTACAGGTTTTTGCTAATGCACTTACTGTAGAAGCCCCTTTCTGCCACTTAAAACTAAATGATGACACGTGGTGTGTCATAGTGTTGAGATTCAATGAAAATTTCAACTTTCAATTGATATCTGAAATCCTAAATGGTTGCATTTAAATGAAAAAATTTAATAATGGAATTACAAGCTTCTATCTATCTATCTATCTATCTATCTATCTATCTATCTATCTATCTATCTATATATATATACATACACTGCTCAAAAAAAATAAAGGGAACACTTAAACAACGCACGCTAAGTCCAAGTAAATCAAACTTTTGTGAAGCACATTCAACTCTGTACAGAACAAAGTACTCGATGCGAATATTTCATTGATTAAGATCGGGAGTTAACGTGCGTTGTTTAAGTGTTCTCTTTATTTTTTTGAGCAGTGTATAAACAAACAATAAACTGTATTTTGGTTCAGCTGTGGGTAGTTGTATGACTTTGTTCCTTGCATTTAACATTCAAGTCTAATTCTGTATTTGTTTCCTGGTTCTCGATTCACACCGTAGTGACTGAAGACAAATTCTTACAGATGGTTGTAGGAAAAATATGCGTTGTTCAAAATGGTATGTCCGAATACACATGAATCAGCTGTATTTCTTCTTTAAAACTTTAGTTTCAGTCTTCTGACTCCAATCTCATTCACAGTACAGCACTCAGCAGCACAGGCCTCTTGCAGACCTTGGGCTGAACCAAAACAAAACACAGCTGCCCTGCTCTGAAGCAGAGACTGTCAAACACACTGACAACTCCTCTCTACCATAAAAATGAATTGAGCTTATACTCTATCTTTCTTCCTGGTTACACCCCAGGAGGTGTTACCTTTTACATCAGATGTCAGAACATAACTCATTTTTGTTTAGGCTAAAGAAGGAACATATGATAACACACACACCAACTCTTTGTCTGCTTTAACCTTACAGACTGAAATGATCAGAGAGTATAAAATACAAAACTGAATCTAATATTCAATTAATCAGTTACAAAATTTCCTTCATGGTCATAAAATAAATGTGGTCGGTCCATCCGCCGCTTAGGAAGCTTACGAAATGTATGGTTAGAAGAACAAATTAATCACAACCATGTTTATCTAGACTTATACAAATAGTTGTTAATATTTATGTTTGTGTAAACAACAATATATTTATGTAGGTTTTTTATATTACGTCTGTCCTGTTTTAGTATCTAGCGCAATGCTGCAAGTTTGTGGTGCTGTGCTTGTTCCCTTGATTTCATTAGAGGAGTAAAACATCCTCACAATATCTTTCAAAAACCTACAAACACCGTTTTAAGCTTATTTTATTCTGCTTGAGACGGAGGGAGCTGGAAGAAAGGCTCAATTTCTGCATTTTTGTGAGTCGTTCTGTTTTTTTATTATTTTTTTTTATTTATATACTCTAGCGACTTGTTGTTTTTCTGCATGTTTATGCCTGGATTTGATAATTATTGTTGCAACAATTTATTAGCGTCAGTCACTCATCTGTATTGCTGTGGTTTCTGCTTCATACGAATACATCAGCAGCTACATAGATGAAGCAGAGCCCAGTCAAAGGACCCCTCCCTCTGTGGACCTCCAGCCCTGGACCATCAATGCCCCCTCTTCTGCTGCTGAGCTCGATGCTCGTCTCGCTCAATATGAACAGAGAACGGGAACAGAGGAGGAAGAGGAGGAGGAGGAGAGAATCCCAGACCTTCAGAAAGACGACATGATGGCAAGGAGGACAGGTGTTTTCCAAAAACAAACAGCTGCTTCAGTGACTCACAGCCGTTTCCTGCCTCTGCCCAGCTCAAAGCGTTACACACAAACAGAGACCACAGATGCTGTCCCACGTAGCAAAACATCAGTGCAGGCAAAGAGAAACACGGAGCTGAATGTCAGGTGGGCTGATATTTGACTTTCACTTTGTTTAACACCAGCTTAGAGCTGCTTTGGGGAAACATTCCTGTTTAGTTATTTCAGTTATAGACTTTTTATCTCTTCATCTGCACCCAAGAGGTTCTAGGGAAACGCCTCAACAAATACTCGAGCTGACAACTCCGCGAGCGACGCCTCACGAGGAAGGTGAACAAGATGACAGTGAAGGTGAGTATGGTGAAAACGAGCCTGTGCCCGACCTGGAGAAAGATGACATGATGGCTCGAAGGACCAGAAGCTTCCAAAGAGCAAGCTTCAATCAGTTCCTGCCCGTACCCGGGTCAGTCAAATACAACATCTGCCCAGTGTCTGCGATGATGCCGCTGCGCAGCCAGCCCAAACTCATCAAAAACACAGACAGAGACAGGTACTCATTACGCTGAAGACAGAGGTGTGGTGTTGGTCAGCAGCTGCAGCTAACAAAACACAGCTTCACAAGGATTGATGAAGATTTGATTGTGACATCCTAACATCAGTGGGTTTCACTGGAGAGTTTTGTGATGTTTTTGTTTTTTCCTGCTGGCATGTTTGGACAGTTGTGACTGAATACCTGATGTGGATTTATTGGTCAGGAAGGACTGGTTGCCTGGAATTTATTGTTTTATATATTTTTTGTCAGATTCTTGCATCCCCGATCTGATGACTGACTCTGTTTGTGCTTTGTTTGCACTGATCTCCTCCAGTTTTGATGACTAACATTGGCTTTGTTTGACATGATTTTAGAGGCTGAGTGTGAAACTGAAACTTTTAGTTTTGTATTTTAAGTGTAAATCAGGGCTGGTTCACAAAAAAAAGCTGCTGCTCTTTTTATAAGGAAAACATTTAATTCTCTCAGATTTCACAAAAAACCTCTTCATACGTATACAAAACTAATTTTATGAACCGAAATATGTGATTTTTGTTTTAATTTTAGGGTAAGGAAACTCTAAACTAATTTAAACCAATATATAAATATTCCTCCCATGTGTTGACCTGCCTGAGGATAAACTTCCCGTTTTTATTAAATCTGCAGGTTGGCCTGTTTAAAAGAATCTAGGTCATGCAGTAAACCAGTTGAACTCTGCCTCAGTTTTTTCATTAGTTTAATACATTACATATTTTTATTATAACTAATGCTGTCAAATGATTAAAATTTTTAATCTATGGCCAGCACTAAAATTAATCAATATAAGTTAACTCGATTAATTTCACAGCCCTAATTATAACATTACACAAATAAGTTGTGGACGGTATGTTCAACTGTGAGCTGAAACATTAAAAAATTGATAGTAATTTTAAGCAGTTATGATCTTGCAATTCATAAAACTAAAAATATTATATTTATCATGGCTCAGGACTTTATAATTTTTTAATAATTATTTATCCATTCAGTCTGGAACTTTTACCACTATGCTTCATTTTTACAGGCTTTTTTTTGGCCTCAACGTTCAGCTGAAAAAACATCAAACATCAGCAAGATTAATTTAATAACTTGGTGAGCATAATGAAGCATTAAACCATGCAGGGAACAGATGTGTGCCTCTAGAGATGGTACAAAACCAAATAAAGTCAACAGAAACTAAAATGTCTCTAAAGAAACACACCAGAAACGTCACTCCAGTTTAATACTAATGTTTAATGATTACAGTTACTCCATCTGACAGTTTTACATTAAACTCATAAGATTTTTGGACAAATACTTTTTTACATTTTTCAATCATTCAAAAAATATTTCAGTATAAACTTATCACACTGTTATTTTTAGACTTTTGGAAATCTCAGAGACCTTTCTGATGCCTGATAATTTTTTAAGTAATCTTTGTGATTAGAAACCAAGAAACAAGTCACAAGTTTTTTTTCTTTTTTTGTCAAATCTGAGTGAACTGATTCTGAAAGTCCTGTTCAGGATAATCCTCGCAGAAGAGCAGATCAGCTGTGGTCCTCCGTGAAGCGCTTCTGATTTACTCTTTAAGCGTATTTCTGGTTAATCCCGGCCTTGTCGTTGGACCGTTGTTTCGGCAGCATTGTTCCAGTGGCAGCAGAACGTCAGGCTTTGCCCCCTAAAGCTCCGTCCGGCCCCCTGTGTCCCGGGCCGAGGGAGAGGCAGGAGGAGGAAGAGAGAAAAAAGGAAGAAGAGATGAAGGTTGCTGACCTCACTGTCAGCTCAGTCTCTGAACCCCCCTGCTCTGTTTCTGCCGTGCCTCCGCCCAGTCCTCCTCCTCCTCCTCCTCCTGCTCAGATCTGTAGGATGGAGGCGAAGGTGGAAAGTCAGGAAGTGGAGGAGAAAACTAAGGAGGAGGAGAGAAAAGAGGATGGGGATGTGAAACCACAAAAGAAACCGTTTTGGCTGGAGGATGATCTGCCTCCAATAATGTGAGATAAATGTTATAAATGTTTACCACTTTCTGGTTAATAACTATATCTGTCCGTCATTCTCTCTCTTTTGTATTTTAACTAACATTTTCTTTATATACACAGTATAAATGAAAATATTTAGTAACCAGACATTTTTCTCTGCTAGTAATTGCACCTCCTTGATCAAACATTTGAAACAAGGAGTAGGTTAATCATCTTCACTTCACTCTGCTGTTTTAGGGTGAGCAGACGAGTTGCCTTTCAGATAGACGAGTAAGTGTTCATAAATGAATCTAACCAATGCACTTCTGCATGCAAACGTATGCATGCTGTGCACGCTGCATTTCATAAGGTCCGTAAAACTGGACCGATATATACAACTCCAAATCCAATGAAGCTGGGACGTTGTGCAAAACAAATAAAAACAGAAATTGATGATTTGCAAATCCTTTTCAACCTGTATTCAATTGAAAACACTACAAAGACAAGATTTTTTTGCCAATATTCACTAATTTTTCATTTAATGCCTTCAACATGTTCAAAAAGCTGGGACAGAGGTACAAAAGACTGGGAGATTCGAGGAATGATCAAAAATCACATGTTTTCAAAATGAGTGAATGTTTGCAAAAAACACTAAAATGGTTTGAACACTAAATATATTGTCTTTATAGTGTATTCAATTGAATATTGATTGAAAAGGATTTGCAAATCATAATTTTCAGTTTTTATTTATGTTTTCCACAACATCCCAACTTCATTGAAATTGGGGTTTTATATCAACATTTTATTATCATTCCTCAAATACTGGTCTCATGCTGTAAATGTTTTTGTGATGTTTTAGAGTTTAAGAGTTGAGGAACAATAGGGGATTTCTTTACAAGATTTCCAATGAATGTTTTATCTTTTTGTGGTCGCTAAGTTGCATGTTTAATTATTTAGGATTAGCAATAAATAAGACAAGTAAGACACACCTCTGTTGATCCTTAACGTCTCTCATTGCATTCTGTTATTGCTTACGTGTCTTTATCTTCAATCCACTGCATTTTATTATGGATTGTGTCCATATATGGTGCACGTGATGTTTGGAAGGGAAATAACAAACAAATGTAAAATAAATCACACATTCTGTATATTTGGTGTCTTACTTTATAGGAGCATGAGTATGGGTGACATGGGTGTCGATGAAGAGGTCGGACACATACCATCGCTGAGCCTGTCCCGATATGAACGCATGCACGAGCAGTACAACAGTTTTCTGGAAGAAGAGGACCACTGGCAGGATGTAAGGGACTTTTGGTACTTAAATAGAATGAGACACATTTAAGGATCATGTTATTAACAGCTCTGAACATTTGGAAGGACCTGGCTCGCTGGAAGAACCGTCGCCGCAGTGCATCACAGGACCTCATCAAAAAGGAGGAGGAGAGGAAGAGAATAGAGAAGAGGATGAAGGATGAAGGGCGTGACGGCAATAAGAGGAAGAGCATCAAGACCTACAAGGAGATTGTGGAGGAGAAGTAAGTAACTTTTAGTGTTTTGTTGAACTTGAAATAAACCTGTTTGGAGTATTCCTACTGTAACTCGTCTTTTTTCTTGCTTCCAGGGAGCGCAGAGAAGCTGAGCTGTGCGAAGCCTACAGAAATGCAGCGTCTCCAGAGGAAGCGGCGCTGGTTTTGCAGCGTTACGCTCTCCGCTTCACCATCAGTGACGCAACACTCGACAGCCTCAAACTGCCCAGATCCACAGCGAAACCCAAACAGGACCTAAACCAGGCTGAGCAGGAGCACAGCCCCAAGTCACCTGTTAAAAACTCAGCGGTGCTCGAGCGTCTGCACAAGCCGGACTGGAGCGTTGCAACTAACCAGGAGCGCACAGAACCTGAAGACGTGGAAACCGAGCCAATCCATGAACGAGAGCAATCTAGTGCCATCTCCTCCAGCCCCCTCTTGATGGAAACAAACTCACCAAGTGTTCCACCTGAAGAGACTCGGCTGACAGAGTCACCACCCGCACGTCGGAAACAACCGGTGACTGAAGACACACAACCCCAGACCAAAGACCCCTCACCTCAGAAAGCACAAGCGCAGCTGCAACCAGAACCTACGATCTCCACCCCTCCATCTGCGCCCTCCAGACCCCTCCCATTGCTGGTAGCCAAGCCCTATTGCCAGCCCAAGAGCACACCCTCTGGACACAAACCCATCAAGGTAAAAAATCCACATCAATTGGTCAAACAAGTCCTTACAGTTCACTGCTCCATGGTGGAGCTTATTTTTACAGAAGTGACTTTGAGAAGCAGTTTAGCTTCAAAATATAAAATACAAATCTACTCCTAAATGATGTTTTAAATTGATATAAAACAGATTACGTCTAATAAATTCTAAATGATTGTTAAAGACACATTCCTTATGTCTGCGTCCTGTTCAGCTGGACGGGTTGGTGCGGGTAAACGGCGAGGCAACAGAGGATTTCCCCTCCCCGCAGGACACGCTGCGGGAAAACAAAGATGTTTCCTCTGAACGGACGCAGAAAAGAGATCCTCCAGAGGAAGCCGTGGAAGATCCAAACACCTCAGAGCAGCCAGCGCCTCCGCAGCCGGAAAGATCAACGTTGTTTTCGGGCTCTGCTATCAGCTCGCTGATCGGAGGCCGCAACTGCATCATCACGACGACTATTGTGACGGAGCTCACACAGACCCGCATGGAGCCCCTTCACCCAGATAGCCAGAGCAAAGGACAGGTAATAACCTCAAATTATTTGCAAAGCACATTTAAAACCATGCAACTCAGACCATGATGTAAAAGGAATGAAGCAAACCAAAAATACGTGTTTGATAACAAATGGCTCTTTGCATTTATTTCCATTTGTCCCAATTAATAAGACAGCTTTTTTTCATTGCTACCAAACTGGTTTTGTTTGTAGGTTGGAGAGTATTTTGTCGACTTTGGAAATTAATGTATGGACTCATTATCAATTATGTATTTTTAGGACTCAAAAAAATTATGAAAATGTGTCTTATTTCCAAGAATTATTAATTCTGGAAAATTAATATTTATTCCGATTGTTTACAGTTAATAAAGAGTGTTCCAATTTAACATATTTTTTATATGAATGCAGAGAAGCATCACACTCATGCCCTTAAAAGGTTTTAATAAATTTTTTTACAACACAAATATGGCACAAAATTTAGGTGGAAGAAGAAATACAGTATGAATGCCGTCTGTTTAAAAAATAAAATAAAATCAATGGGAATTTAATAGATTTTAAAAATAATAATTTAGATAATAAATACAAATTTTCTAGTCACAGTTATGATTTACAAGTTTACATCTTTAGTTTACATAAAATTTACAAGTTCAGCTACAAAACAACGTTGAAAGTTCACTTTTTTTTGATCGAAACTAACTTAAATCCTTTTTTCCCTTGTGAGGATTGTTTTATGTAAAGCAGGTTTCTGGTTTCCACTGGTACATTTTAATAGACATTTACATGAGCAGAACCCAGCAGCAGCCTGTAACACAAAGAACCTCACATTTCAGTGATCAGCAGAATGGTTAGCAAGTGTTTTTAGTGTTACGTCATTTTCACTGGATTACAACGTCAAAAGAAGCATCTCAAGATGAGGAGCGTTTCAGGAAGTATCCAGAGATGAAGCGACAAGAGATGGGTTTTAAGATTGTTCTTCAGTGATTTATTTGAGACTTCACCCCTCAGGATGGGACGGCAGAGGAGATGAGTTCCCCACCTCCTGCATCACCCAGCAGTAATGAGTGTTCTCCCACTGTCACGGGTAAAACTCATTCAGAGAGTTTCACTGACTGCACTGTTTTCTCCTAGTTGTTTCTCTTTTCTTTAACCGGTTGTTATTTTTTCCCCTTGTGTTCCACAGAAGGACTCGAGGAGAGCAGTGTGACCGTGAGTGTCTCTGAGCAGCTCCAGCTCCTTCTTTCTGTTTCTCCTTCATCTTCAAATTTGACCCTGTCCTGACCCTCTGTCTCCAGTGGTCACTGTTGTTGCTGTAGTCAGACTGGTGTCCTCACCTTTCCTCTCTTTCTGTCCTTTTGATTCGTATATTTGTGTGTGTGTGTTTGTGCGTGACTGTTGGTCGGATCTGGGTAGATTGAAACCCCCATGTTGAATTTGGCTAAACGTGTTAATCACTGGGTTTGGGACCCCAATGAGGAGCGTAAACGCGTGGAAAGGTGGCAACAGGAGCAGGAGCGCCTCCTACAGGTACTGTGGTGTGACGGTGTGTGTGAGTGCACGGTACTGGAGAGAACCGGTGCCACACGCTGAACTGGATGTTGGTTCTTTGTACGTGGCGTTTGCGGGCTCCGATTCCGGCGCTGTTGAACGTGAGTCGTCTCTCTCGTCAGGAACAGTACCAGAGGGAACAAGAGAAGCTGAAGCAAGAGTGGGAGAAAGCACAGCTGGAGGTGGAGGAGGAGGAGAGGAAACACAACGAAGAGGTGGGAGCAGTAAAACTCAAAAATGTTTCTTTGTCTGTTCGTCTCATATTTTTCACCCTTTCTCTGTGTGTCGTCTTGGTCGTTCAGGAGAGACAGATTCTCGAGGAAACGGTCGCACCCCTCAGTCCGTCCGGCCTGTTGCACAAGCAGCCAGGACACACGAGGGAGGCTTCGTCTGAGAACATGTCTTTGCAGCAGAATGGACAAAAGGTCGAGGATCAGCACACGTCCAAGCTGCATTTTTTTCAGGGTCAGTTCGACGTGTCTTCGCAGATATGCAGAAGAGGTTCACATTTCCAGCTTGGACTGGAGCAGATGAGACGTTACTTTATTGTCAATGTTTTTTGCAGATTCTTCTTGTGATGGAGAACCGTCCCAAAAACAAGAACTGTGGAAAACGGCCTCTCTGGACCGTAATCCTCAACTGACTCAGACCCAGAGTGTTAAAAGGTCTGTAAAACCAGTGTTACTTAAAGGACATGCTTCAAATCTTTTCTGTTGAAAGCTTATGAACAGTAGCTATCTTACCTGTTGTAGATAGCACTACTTGTGTGATCTTTGGCATCAAATAGTTTAGATTTGTTTAAATAGTTTTCAGTTTGCATCAGTTAATTCTAAACTAAATTTTGTTCAGCGTCGCCACGGTCAGCACATCTCAGTTTATGTTTATTTCTACAAAAATGCAACATTTTTCATGCACAGCACTGGAAGATGGCCGGGGAACAGCTACAGCACTCTTTCAAACACAGCGGAGGCTTCATCGTGGTTTGAGAAGCGTTTTAATCACAACACATCCACAGAAAAGCCAAGAATTTAGCTCTGGTCCTGGCCAACCTTTAGCTCTGTGTTTGACCTTAAAGTAACATCACTTTCTTAATAAATATGAATATATTAATGGAAAGATAACAATAATACAATATTGTAAAGAAACATTGCGCTGCTTTGATGAACAGTTGTTGAGATAAATGGTCACAAATGTCAATGAAAAGGCCTTCTCAGACTGCTTTTTACCAAGAATTTATGTTTTTTTGAATATATCTGAATTGAACAAAGTGTTTTTTTCTTAACTAAGCCTTTTTTTTGTACCTCAGGTCAGAATCACACGATGCTGTAACAAGTAAGCAGCCCCCCTCCCCTCTGACGCCTCAGCCTCCATCACCCAGCAGGTAGCAGTTATGTAAAGAAAAAGCAGCAGATCTGAATGGATACATTAATGTGGGAGAGCAGAGCGTTGGTCTGAACATTGTTTCCCTCCCGGCTTTGTGTAGGTGTGTTAGTGGGAGGCGGCTGTGTTCAGGCTGTTCTAAACCTCTGGGAAAAGGAGCCGCGATGATCATTGACACACTGGGACTCTTCTTTCACATACAGTGTTTTAAGGTACCCAACAAGGCACTCTGTTTCAGCAATGAATATATTTGCTTGACATAAATGTGTACAAAAACAACTTAATTTAATTGAGCCATCATAAATTAGCATGTGCGACGTTTCAGTGAAGCCTCTACTGTATAATAACCAATAAGCTAGTATTCGCACATAAATAAGGCATAAACAAAACCTATAAGTTGTGTGAAGCTGTGACTTGTTTGCTGACCGTTTCTGTTTCCTGTCAGTGTGGCTCTTGCAGTAGGCAGATGGGTGATGCCACCACAGGGACTGACGTACGGATTCGCAACGGGCAGCTGAGCTGTTATGAGTGCTACATCGCATCCCGGGGTGAGAAATGTCCACGCATTTTCAACACGTTCACACATACATGATCTGACCTACATCACTTGTAAAAGAGTATAAGGTTTACTACATTTGTATTAAAACAATATATATATATATATGGTATAAATATATATTTGTTTAGGTTTTTGAAGGAAATATCCAAAAAGTCAAACTTTATCATCATCTTCATGTTACAAACGTGTTTTCCTGTTTCTTTGCAGGCAGAGGTCAACCCACTACACTATGATTACCCCCCCTTTTTTTTTTGGAACTGGAACGTCACCGTTTGTGAGAGTTTTTGGACAAAAAAAAAAGATTTGAGATCCTTGAGTCACAATCCGATCGAAGCCTGGATTCTGTTTTTTGGACTCCCCCTCCCCTCTGAAATAAACAAACAGCTTGGTTGAATATTTTTAAGAGGAACTGAGTGGACATTGCCAACTTAAGTAATCACAAAGTACAATTGATGTACTTTCTTACTTGTACACATGTATACATCTATTCCTAATACATGTAGCATGAATGGCATCACTGAGGCAGTATGTTCAACGCTTCCTTTGCTCATTTCTGACATGTAAAAGGAGATCTCCTCCTCTGCCATGCGCTAAAAACACTGAAGCTGAAAAAAAAAAGTTTATTCCTGAAATTGTTTTGCTCGTTAGCTCCTGCTTCTGTGGCTCTCCTCCCCAAGTGTGATGCAAAGCAGTCTGTGTTGGATAACCCGAAGTAGCTTGACCATTGTATTGCCTTACTCATAATTTCTTGTTTCTTTTGAGCTTTGTGTTTTACTGTTTTGCATGAAAGAAAGACCATATATAAGTTATTGTGAGTATTTTTAGTTTCCCAGAAGTGGAACTTGAACTGTCCTTGCCTTTTGTTGTGCATCATTACCATAAGTTTGAATTTACAAGGATCTGCTTAACTTACATAATTCTTTTTAGTAATTAACTTACATGAATAATAATGCATGTTAAGTAATGATATTTAGTATTTTAGTTTTTGAATTTAAAATATTTTCTTTATTTTGGCGTTTTTTTAGCTTTACTTTCTTCTCACTGACTGAACCAGTGCCTTATACAGTATGTAATGAATGCAACAGTGAGATATTTCACTCAATTTGACCTCTGGGTCAAGGCACATTGTGTGTGTGAGTGTGTGTGTGTGTGTACTGTATAGATATTAATGCTGTGTATTTTGACTTGAAGCACAGTTCCATACCAGCAAAAACATCTTTATTGGAGTTTTCTTCCAACTCCTCCCATGACACAAAGCGTTTTACAGATTCCTCGGTTAATAAATGAAATGAAAATATCCTCAAATCTCTCTTCGTCTGCCTCTGTCACAAGTGTTTCCTCCCCCGAGTGTGAGGTGAATTACTTTGTCCTCACCCACCTTCATTTAAACACCTCACAGCCTCCCAGAAGAACAGAGCTCAGTTTGTTTTATAATAACTGTATGTTTATCAATAAAAATATTTTAAATGTGTTTTGTTTTTACTTTTAATTCCAGTTCATGTAATGTTATATTTCAATTTTTCACAAAATGCACAATAAGTATAAATAAAGCAAGTTTTTTAGTTTTTGTACCTACTGCCAACATAAAATTTACTGTCGAAAAGAAAGGATATCAGATTTAACTGTTGGACCTAAAATAATCAGTGCCAGTATGTTCCTGCACATCGCATAAGTTCAAAACACTTTTGTTCAATATTGTTGATATCTACGTCAAAAGTTGTATTATTGGACAATTTAGGGGCTATAATGTGATACTTTACTGTTTTTTTAACTACACCAGTTTTAGTTAAAAATGCGGATTTAAGGTAACCACTCTAATATTTAATTATTAAATGTATAATTTGAAAGTGTGGAATTTAATTTTATTTTGGGAACTTTAAAAAAGGGCCATTCATATCGAACCAACTGAAAGGTAGAATAAAGCTGTGACTGAGGTTTATTGAGGCCAGATTAGAAATGATCTATTTGTGAACGGAGAACAGTCAAATATAAATAATATATAAATATAAATTCTCAAAATAACAGGCTGATATAACTCGCCTAAAAGCAGACATTTTATGTAATAATAAAATTACAGAGAGTGAAAACCCACATCCAGTCTCACGAGTTACACCGGAACTATTAGTCTAGGAACGAACGTTTAACGGGGAACGGAAAGAAAATAAGGAGGAACCGGAAGTTATCCACTGTTTAGGAAGTGGAGTAATGCCTGTTGTTTCACTTCAGTTTGCATTTCAAAAGAGAGAAAAGTCGTAACATATGGACTCCAAAGGACCTTCGCTTCGTCCAGTATGTACTTGTTATTTAAGGTTACTGTTTGCCACGACCGTGTTGGTTTTATTTTAGTCAAATAGCCTCAGAGCCAGTGGTGTTTATCTGATAAAGTTGTTAGCATCACGACTGTGGCGACATTTTTACATCACATGATCTTACTTATGGCAGCAAAGAAAGGAATCAAGGCTTTTAAAATCCAAGTTTCTTTGTCAGTATATTGCGTTTTTCTTTCTTTTTGTTGCTTGGAGTGTTTAATATATTAGACTTCTTCCTGTGTGTAGTGAAAATGTTTTTAGTTTGTCTTTCACTCACCTTACAGGATCTGAAACACTCAGTACATGTTTCTTAGTCACTCTTATGTTGATTATCTAGCACTAAAATACTTCAAGTAGGCTTACAAAATCAGATTTAGTTTTGTGTTTGCACTGTAATCATTATTATTTTAGTTAAAGTGACCAAGTTTGGTTTGTATCACCCCGGGGAAGATTTATTTACCCAGGTTCGTCAAAGTCAGCTTTCTTCTCTAATCCTGTATTACTCTGCAGTTTTGAAATATACCCTAAGGGGACATTTAGAAACTTATCTATTTTTACATTAGAATTTTTTGCTTTTTAAGGTGCACTTTATTGGTCATGTTTTTTTTTAATTGAAGAGCTTTGCTCAGTTGCTGAAAATCCTGGTCCCACACCATCAACACACAAGTTATGACAGGTTCCAAAGTCAGTGATGTATTTATTTAGCCTGAGAAAAAGAGAAGGAAGGCTGACTTGTGGTTTAGTTACTCAACATATGTTAATCTCAGCAGGCAGGACCGTCTGGAGACATAACTCAGAGCACAGAGGAAGACTCTTTAGTAGACGGCCCACTGATCTCTGCTGACGCCCTCCACTCTGCTATCAGGAGAGAGTTCCAGCCCGTACCAACAACCTGTCCTGCTGGCCTGCTGGCCCTGCTGCATGTATGATCTCAAACTTTACTGTTCTTACTGCCAAGCTTTCTATGCTGTCAAAAGAAGAGTCTTTAAAGACGAAAAGACAATATGTTGCTTTTTGAATGCAATGCTTTGTTTTTATCTATTAGTATATTTTACATGTGTTTGTTTTTGGACTGTTAAAAAATAACTTAAGCAAAACTATAGTTGGTGTTTTTGTAATTGTTGAAATAGGCCACGTTTCATGAGAGGCATTGACATTCATCAAATAAATGATAAATAATTGTTAATTTGTTTGACTAAAGTTGCTGGATTCCAGAAGAGGCCATTGAGCAAAAAAATATTACTTTTACCTGAGTTCTGACTTTTTCCTCTAAATTCTGATGTTTTTTTTTTCTCAGAGTTCCGAGACCCTAATTCTGAGATGTGACCCACCATCTGTCTCCTCGTGTTTGATTTTATTCCTCAGGTTCTGTACGTGGTATTGTCGACATGTGTCGCTCTGCTGTGCGTGCTGAAGTTCGGCCAGGAGGAGGTGTGCGTGAACATTCTGGACGGCGTGCAAGGTGACAGTGTCATTGTGTTCGGGAAGGTGTTTTTGTGGGTGCTGATGTTGTCGTTGAGCATCTGGATGCAGCATCACCACAGTCGAGTCCGCAGCAGAGGATACCTGCAGTTTTACAGGCAGACACGGTGGCTGAAACAGGTGCCATTCACTGTACACTCAATAGGTACAAAAACACTCAAATCACAATGCCATAAATCAGTTTGATACTTTATGTGGAGGCTTGTGTTCGCCACTAGGTGGCAGTGAAGTTCTGTCTTTTTTTATGAACAGGAAACACTCTGGTGCTCTCACTTCTGGCCATGAAACTACCCCAAAATATCCACATCTACCTGCTGCTCAGCATTCTGGGATTGGAGCTTTTGGTGGCTGCTTCATTTCTGATCTGTTACACGGGTAAACTGTTAATGCTTCTTTTATAAATATATAGAAGGCTTGAAACATGACTGTTTTCCAACAAGGATGAGAATTGAAAGTGCAAAGAAGAGAAAAGGACATTAAACAAGTAGAAATGTGCAAGTACGTTCACTGTTAAAACAGCCTTATGACAAAAGTTTAAACTGTATGACTTCACCCCACTATAGCAGCAAGAGTGGTATTTAAAAAAAACTGCAATAGGTAATTGGCTGCCAAGACTCATAGCAACTCCTTGTGCAGCATGGCACTAGACTGGCAGTAAAATAAAATAAAACCAGGTTAATTTATTGCCTATGCATGGAAAATATTTTGCCTGAATGTGTTCAGTCCTTAAAAGGAGGTAACTTGAAATGCACTTTTTGACTTCAGTGACTGATTCCTCAACAACTAACAAACAGCAGCACTGCAAATCATGACAGTGTTCATGCAGCTCAGGCCAGGGACTGTGTGGATTATTATCACCGTCTAAGTAGTCAGCTTAGTTAGATTAGTCTAAATCATTTTCGTCTGATAAAAGAAATATCACGCCTGACATAAAATGTGCAGAACAAACTTAAATGTTGCTCATAGTTTTCCCTTCAAAGTTCTGTTTTAATCTGGCTGGCCACAAACGCCTACGTTTGGTGTCTGATCATTCTGGAACACCGAAGACTTCCTCTTGAGTCATGATGTGTAAATCAGCCAGTAATGTTGCAAGTCTTCCTCGCAATCTGACTGAATGTGGCAAACTTCTCTTACCAAGTTTTTTGATAATTTAACAGAGCAGTATGATGTCACAGTATTACCACCAGCATGACCAACTTCCAGTTTGATGGCACCACTGGAAAACACTCAACAGTACATATTTATTCACAGTTTAATGCCACTTTTTTATATCTTAGTGATAAGCTTCGTTCACATGAGCGCACTCTGATACACTGAGGTTGTTTTTTTATGACTAATATAATTTTGTGTATCAGGGTAAGATAATTATTTCATGTTTTTATTATGTGTGTGGCCCTGTAGTTGCTTAGTCAAAATAACCTAAAACTGGTCATAATCAACTTTATCAGATGTATTCTTTTTCTCATACTGGACTTTTTTCACATAATACGATTATTTATCTTCTAAATAGCATCATAAAGATAATGTAGAGTCATGATATTATTGTTTATATTTCTATATAAATAGTTCGCATTTAATGGTTGGCCAGCTGAGTTTCAGTTGATCAGTCTGTTTTCTACAGAGACACAGCCTGCAGATTACATTAGACACAAATACGCTCACTACCCCCCACTCTATCTGAGCAGATTTGCATCACAACACTCGCCCGTCCCTTTTGTGACTCAACAGCATGACAATCAAGCATTCAGCTCCCTGTCCATTTTGCTTCTGACCCCAACTTCTCTGGATGACGCCCACTCCTGTCTGTGTGTCTGCTGTCAGTTTTCTTCTTTTGTGCTGAAGATCGGTTAAGTTTAGTTTAACTCCGTTCAGAAAACTCAGTGTGGTTGAGTAGTTTAGTTGAAAATAACAAAATATCATAAAACTCTGCTTTTGTAAAACAGCCTTATAAAACGCTGCTTTTAACCCCTTCATTTAAAGTCATGACTAGAGGGACAATGAGAAACTGGAAAAGTGGTTGATTCTTTTAGTTTTATGTAAATTAAATGACTCCAACAAATCAGTCCATCAAAATGATCACCAGGTTTGTGTGCATTCTCACATTTTATCTTCCCAAACATTAAAAAAAGTTGAGTTGAATTAATTCAGTTAAATTAAAAATAAAAAAAGTAAACTAAATTCCTGATTATATTTTGTCTTACTATAAAATTTTGTGGTCACACCACACACTTATGGTCTTTTAAATCTTTTAAACCTGTAAACTTTAAGTGAAACACACCAAAAATAATAATAAAAAAAAAACAAACTCCAGGATCTTTATGTTCTTAGAGTGTAAAATGTGAATGTGGTGAAACTTACTTTTCATTCCTTTACTGAAGAAAACACCTAAAATGCTTGGATGATGTCGCTCATTATGTGTTTATAAGATTTATAAAACAAAATGAGGTGTTTTTTTTTACACATTTTCTAATAGTTTTCAAGTTTAAATTTAAATTCTTGGTATAAAAGCTTCAGAGAGGATTTTTATCAGCAGAGTTTATATAAAACTTGCAGATTTACTTTTTAATTCATTCCTAAAAGGACCATACATTTATTTACCTTTTTTACAAAGCTTTTAATGTTGCCTTTTATTAAAATGCTAAATGAATCATTTTATGTTAGATTTTAAGATTTTTTAAGACATAAATCCATGCATTTTTAAAAATAAGTAAACCCCAAAAATGATACATTTTGGGTGCTTTCATGTGATGAAAGATTTTATTTCTACTTCTTCTGTATTAGTTTCTTATCTCAGAATCCATTTTACTTGTTTGAACAATGATTGACTGTAAACAATGACTTTTTCTAAACTTGGGTTTAGAAAGCTGACTTCTTCCTGTGAGTGCGAAAAACTGCTGTTTTACGATGCCCCATCACAGGATATTGAAAATGAACCGTCTGTATTGAAAGGAAATCCAAATTAAAGGGGCGTTTGGCAGCTAAAGGGCACAGATTGCAGGCGGGGATACCAGTGGACCGAGGAGAGAAGATAAGAACCACCGAGATTTAGGGTTTTAGCCAAAGGGTATCTCTGCCCCTTCCACGTGCATTGTCCCTGTGTTTACAGTGTTTCTGATCCAACACGTGGGTGAGGGGGGCTATGTTGGCCCGCCACATTCCTGCTCAGATCAGTGCTCTCAAACCAAACCACACCACGCAGTCTCACACGCTCACTGACAGATGCAGCTTTGAGGTGACATCATGCAGATCATGGAAACAAAATGCTTTTACCTGAACTGAAACCCGAGGTCTCGATCAGCTTCTCTTTGAAGTGCACGCTGATTGTTAAGTGTGTGTGTTGTTGGGGTTTTCTGTATGTTTCTTTCTTCTTTAACACGAGTGCTCAGTCCTCTGTAGAGCTTCATACACATCAAAGCCTTGCCACGGCCTTCAAAGGCTCAGCTCTTTCTCTTCTGCCTGCTCAGAAACTTTTTTTAGTGTAAGCACTGCAGGGCACATGGTTACACACACACACACACACACACACACACACACACACACACACACACACACACAGATGCTGACACAAATTCAGACGTGGAAAAGAGGAGTTAAGACCCAGTTTACATGTAAACAATCTTCTGGAATTATTATAAGTTACTAAAGCTGTGAAAACGTTACATTTATGCAGTCATGCTATGATGGCAATCTCTGTAGAAAAACTTAAAATCTGCTGGAGTTTCCATGCCAGGTCTGTAGCTGGTGGTATGATTGTTGCATGTTTTTTTTTTTTTTTTTTCACTCTTCAGTTTCCAGTTACAGGTCAGCTCAGTTTTTATAGAAAGGGAGAAATGTGCCTCTGCTGACCCAAGAGTTCTGTCTCAAAAGATTTGATAAATTAAAAACTTCCATTCTGATTCAAAAAGTTTTGATGTCAGAGAAAACAATGTTGTGTACACACACAAAAAAAATCAATAATAATGTGTTCACGAAAGCTTTATTCTGTAAATATACTTTATGAATATTAGTCTGTCATCGTTCAGAACAGCTTGGGTGTTCATGTGTCTAAAGTCATTTTTGCTGACAAAAGCTAGAAGGTATTTTTACATCTTAACTTCACTTTTGACACAACAAACACTATCAATCCCAGATCTGTGCTGCCGGGAACGATCTGTCGATGCTTCTTTTTTTTTTTAAACTTCACTGCGTGCAGACGTGCTAAGTGAACGCACACGCGACTTGCAGTTGGAAAGATTACAATTTTGATGATGTGAAGCGTCAGCTGTGTTCAACAAAGCTGTTCAAATCAACACCAACAGCAGTCAAAATAAAAGTTTGAGGATAATTCAACTCACTAGCAAAGGCTTCTCGTAAAATAGCTTTTTGATTGACAGCTGTACCAAATTACAGTTCAAAAACCTCATTTGCTTGAAAGCTTTTATTCACAATAATGCCACATAAAGCCTCAAAAATAAATCTACACTTTGTCGCTGTGTTGAAGATATTCATCGTTTGTTACGTTGGCACATCTCCTTTATCAGAGAATCAAAGCCCCTTTTTCTGATTCCTGTTTGGAGTCATTTTTTAGACGTGCAGTTTCAAACGGGAGTTCGTAAAACGTGCTGCCGTTTGATTGTGAGCCAAGCTAACCGCTAACATCATGTACAGTGATCTGTTTCAGACTGACAGAGTGTCTTTATGAGTTCAAAGATCTGTGACTCAGCTGCATTCTGAGCGTTAGCTTTGAACAGAGACCAAAATTAGAGATTTAATCCACATCTTTCGACATTAGTTCTTTCATTTCATTTAGGAATGCCACGTGTGGATGTCTTCAGGCAAATTTTCCTCAGACCAGGGGGTGATTTGGTTTTATTGTGAGAATGCTCAGCGGAGGAAGGGCAACACCCCTCCCCTCAAGACTCTCATAATATTGCCACAGATTATGTATCATTTTTTTATTTCAGTTTTTTTCTTTTTTTTAATTACTTGTCAGTCTTTGTACCCACTGGCTTCCATTTTTTCCCTCCCCCTGTAGACAGCGGCATTGTGTGTGGTGCCATTAGCTGTTAGCACCTCACCAGTTTCACTCTTGTCACCTGGAAACGTGCTCTTTTAGCTGGTTGATTGAAGCGTCTTCAGATGTGAGGAGACCAGTTCTGAGTACTGTCTGACCGGACTTGTGAGAGTCTCTAACAGGAACGTGTGAAATTTGTCACTGGCTTTACACTTTTTTTTCCTCCATCCATCAATTTTCCTGTCTGGTTTCAACTCTGCTGCATGACGAATGAATGAATTACAAATTACTTGTGAAGCTCCTTTCTTTAAAACTTTTGTAAAACTTGAACTTAGAACTCACAACAACAAAAATGGACACAGGATAAACTACATTAATCTCTATAAATACTAATGTTGTAGATGACATGTTATATTGAGCGTTGTAAATGTGTTACTGTACACCTTTTAATGCTTAAAAGCTGTTTTCTTCGTGCTACAATACATTATTTTTAAAAATTAATTATTAAAATGCAGATAGAGCTTTTTTAAGTTAAATAGTTTACATTTACATTTTTAAAAATATTCTCAGGAGACTTAAAATGTAGAAAAACGGTTTGATCCAAACAAACCTGAGGCAATTTGTCTAATTTTTTCACCAAAAATGAACAAATTCACAAACATCAGCTCCATTATTTCTGTTTTTAACACTTTTTGCGACTCTTCTTCCTCTGCATCTTTTGGGATCATTGTTTCTTGCTGTAGCTTTGTTTACATGCACACAACACACACACACACACACACACACNACACACACACACACACACACACACACACACACACACACACACAGACTCAGGCCTCATTATGCAGGAATGTGTAGCATTTCTTTGGACTGTGTGTGTGAGAGAGGGGAGATGCTGAACTGTAAATAGTGCTCTTTAGGGTCCACCTGATAATTTCTTTATCACAGTTTGAAGTGTGTGCTGGAATTTTTAGTCGTCACCCCCCCCCCCCCCCCACCCCCCCCCCCCCCCCCCCCCCCCCCCCCCACCCCCTACTGCGACTGCACCCACCTTCCACACAGCCCGTGTTAACGTGCATGTTTATGGTGTCAGAGTTAGAGGTTTGAGTGCAGGATACGGCAGCCCACAAGTGCAGGATATAACAGCTTGTGTGTGTTTTTAGGAGAGGCGGAGTCTAATAAAAGAAGTGTGCTTCTTTTCTCCAGTGTTTGAGTTTCACCAGTTAAAGGTCTTTTCTGTCTGTGTTTCCAGTCAAAGTGGTGCAGTTCAACAAAGAGCGAGCTGCACCAGACGTGAGCCAGGAGGACCTTTCACACACCAACAGTGTCACAGCCTCTCCGGCTGAAACCGGTTTCAGGTACGCCTTTTCACCGAGACGCACACTTCCAGTTTATTCATCAGTCCAAAAATAAGGCCTTAATTAGCCTTAAAATGTCTTAAATCAATCTTTCAGAAATAAATGTTAACACATTGTCAATAGGATTGATGTAATTCATCTCAAATATTAAAATAACTGGTAACTTTTTTTTTCAAGTATTCACATGCAGACATTCCCCTTTGACATCACTTCCTGTTACTTCACATGCAAATATCTCAACAACTGTTCATCTGAACAATGTGAAATATGTTTTGTAATATGTTAATAATGTTGTCTTTACAACAATGTGTTCACTTTTCTTACAAAAAATTGATGTCACAGGCACTTTAAGGTTTCATCTACAGTAAATTGGGGTTTAAGACCCCACTGTGGGTCCTAAAACTCCAAATTTTGGGTCGTTAGAGGATTTCCAGAAATTAAATTAAGTTTAAAACTGACTGCTAAGAATGTTTCTGCTATAGATATGGATAAAACAATTGATCTATTTGAATACTTCAACCAAAAATACTTTGATTCATGAGTTTCTGCCAGTTTTTATTTTTTATTTTTGTCATTTGGGTTTATTATGAAATAGGTCTTAAATTTAATTTCACTTGGTATTAAAAAGTCTTAAATTTAAACTGTAGGATAAGTGTTAGCAGTGTCTGTTTTTTGTATCCTCTGCAAGCTTTTTAAATTGCCAACATGAACTGAAACACACAATATTAAATATTTTCATGAAAGGTTGGTGATGCTTTAGTTTAAATCAATCATATTTCTGTAATCTTTGAAATATTACCTTCCTCTAATTCTGTTCTCCCCTTTGTTTACATTTTTATATTATACAGATATTTGACTTTTTGAGTTATACAGACATAGAGTTCAGTGGCTCTGTCATATTTCAGCAATAATTTAAAGGAAAGTGTTTCTGCTCATCAATACAAATTTATGAATTAAACTTATTTTGACATGACTGTTCTCTACCAGAAGGAGTATGTCCCAATTTCTAAAACAAGAGTCTCTGAAAGGTTTGATGTATATGATTAAGATGTGAATCATAACCACTTTATTATAGTTGATTTTCATTAAACTAATGAGTTACCCTCATGTTGTTATGGTATATATTTGGTGTGTTTATACCAGATTCATGATGATTTACTTGCTCAAAGACACAGAGATATATGCTGTTTGTTTTATGTTACAGAGGACCCACCAATCTGGAAGAAGTGGTGGAGAAGCAGGCCGACCTGATCGAGTACCTGAAACAGCACAACACGTTGCTGAGCAAGAGGCTGCTGAACCTCACTGCTCAGCACTGACCTCAGCTCCACTTCCTCCTGTAAACCAGGCGATTGCTGGCTGCAGCCGCAGGAGAGAAAAAAAAAGTTTTACTGCTCTGAGAGAAGAGCTCAAAGACTAAAAAAGTAAGCTAATGCACCTGTACACACAGACTGATCCAGCTCCTCTGGAAGGTACCCTCACCTGAGATGGACTGATAACGCTGCAGGAGGTGAACCGAAGGCGGAGGGCTTTTCAGGGGAAAATGGGAGATAAAGAGAGCGGGAGTCGTGGGTCACGAATCAGAGGTGAGGAGGTTTTATCACTGACTCCGGTGATCTGTGGACGCTGCTCCTTTTGTCACTCTGAATGAAACGGAGCAAGAAGCTCATCTGCACAAAGGAAGGACGGGTTATCTGAATCAAGCAAGCAAGATTAGTTTTATCTGTTGAAATGTAAATTTTTAAGTGTTTTTTTTTCCTCCTCATATTTCAGCTGCCGTCTTTGATTTTGTTTGTTACTAAAATCTAATAAAATGTTTAACTATTTTATTTGTGATACCACTGGTTCTGACTGTTTTATGAGTATGTATCTAATACTGCTGTTATTGCCTTTCTACTACTGTATTTTAAATTTCAAAAACACACAAAATACGAAATCTGTCTCTCAAACCTTTGGTGTTTATTCTAATTGTGATTCTGGCGTTTGAAAAACAGGAGTGAGCTGGAATGGTATCATTTCCTCTGCAGCTTTAACTGAACACTCAGTCCTGCAGATATCACTCTTTGGTTTATTACAGGCTTTCAGGTCAAATAGTTTGTAAATAAAAAAAAAAACTGGGTCTTAGTCTTTCATTTTGATGCTGCGTGTGCTTAAAGTCACACAAACTAAGCTAAATCAATGTAAATGTTAAAAAGGATACAAGACATACATTTTTATTAAAATTACAGTGTAATCTAAAAAACATTTGAAGTGCAAACATACATTATAAACACATCTGAACACTATACAGGCATTTCAAACTCTTTGGTCCATGTATTACACAAATATAAATGATAAATATTGTCTCCTTGCTCCTTTCATGGTTTGCACTTTGTTATAAAATGTTCTTCATTCGCAGGCTTGATCTGACTTCGAGCAAGTCCTTGTAGTGATACGTGATCATGTCTCTTGGGAGTCCCATATTACTCTTTCCACCTTTGGGTCCATTCGTCCTGGTACGGATCCATCCAGGTTCACATCCATAGTTTCGTCTCCAAGAGACTTCAGCATCGGCCTGTAATAATAATAATTTCATAATAAACTCTGTTTTAGTGTCCTGCACAAGTTCAAAACCCCTTTGGGAGTAAAATTGGCCTGTTGATCATTAGTGGGATTTATATCTGACCCCTTCTTCCTCTCTGCACCCCTGTTCTGCATGAACAAATATCTTTCTGCTACTAATCACATCCCCCTCTGAAGTGCCACCTGCCTGCAGTGTAATCTGGCTTTGTTCCACACATTGTGCAGCTTAGCTCATAAAACTCTGAAACACTCAGAAACACATGTACGAGTGAACACACACCTCAGGGGAAGGGCACTCTGGAGTGTAGAGGCATGCATCGCCTGTAAGGGCAGTGATGTCTGTGGTATTTTCTCCTGAGATTTAAAACATCTGAAATAGAAAAAAAGAAACAGAACTGATCAGGCTTTGATATCTATCAAGCATATTAAGTTCTAATTAATGTAGGTAATTGTTTTTAAGTAGGACTGGCTTTAAATGAAATATAAGATTGGCTTCAAGTTTCCTGGTTACACAAGGGGGCCGAAAATCAAAATTTTGCTCAAGCCAACGGTCAATTTCTGTCAATATTTATAGAAAAAATGTTATATTACAAATTATTCTAATAATATTTCAAACAACCCTTTCCATTTTATGTTTTATGTAGTGTTTAGAAAGCTAATAGAAAAAGACACATTCATTTCTCATGCCTTACACTCTGTCAACAACTGTTTCATTTATTATTTCTTGGAGATACATTTTATCACAGCAAATCGGGTAATAAAAAAACACAAAATCAATTCTTTGTTGCTCGTTCCATGACAAAGTCAAAGATTGTTGTTTTGGCTTGAAAGTTGGCCAGTTGTCATGAGAGGAATGCACTATAAATACAGAGTCAACATGAGAAAGTTTAAAACCAGTTCACATTTTAAGTATCACCTTTGGGACCAGATAAAATGTTAACAAGGACCAGATTTGGCCCGTGAGCCTTGAGTTTGACGCAACAGTTTTAACACTTCGTCCCCAAATAAATCCCACTTTGAGCCCAGTCATTTCTCAGGTTGCAAGCCAAGCCCAGGAAGAGATAAACTGGATGGCTTTATGGTCTCCCACCCCCACTCCGGACCACCCGAATCTCCCCACGCCTGAAGGGTCTGTTTCTTTTACAACAGGTCCCGTGTCATGTTAATAAACCCTGGGTATTTGCATGGCGTTTTAACACCGGGCTTAACAAAGGGCCCGCCGGAGTGCTCTGCAGCCGGGGACAAAAGGGTCCCCCTCCGGCCGCTGTGCGATGTCCGGCGGAGGGTGTCCTGCCACCCCCACCCCCCAATCAGCTTCAAAGACACGTGAAACCAACAACTTTATATATAAAATATTATGTATAAAAACTTAACAGTTTAAGGAACTGAAGACGTATTATGAAAAAAAATATTTCCAATTATAATAAAAAAGTTTGATCAGAAACACCTGTTGGACTCTTACCTGGTTTGACGCAGTAAGCTGAGGTTAAAATCACTGCCAGCAGCAGGAGCAGGTAAAACAGATTGAAAGCCTTCATGTCTGTTTGAGGAGTGTGTTGGGGAGGAACAGGCAATGTTTATATTTATATATTTGCCAAGGTCAGCAGAAATCCTTCTTGTCTCTGCAGCTCTTCTGTCCAGCCACTGTCTGACACTGCGTTGGGAGCAAAGTGATAAAGGTACGTCCTCCATCTGGTTTATATACAGCCTTTTTTTTTTTTTTTTT